CTCAACCATCTATTTACTCTGCCTCTCGGTAACCCCTCAAGATGAATGGAGGTTGCATGATCTCCCGGAAGGGAAACTGGACAGGCTAAACAGTGGAGAGAGAGAACTCAACATATTCCCTGAGGTCTGGGCAGAAGACAACCCACCCCCCACCCCCCGCCAGGCTTGAAAAACAAGTCCCAGTGGTAATAGAACTCAAATCCAGTACAATTACATCAGCAACCGCCTTGGGCCTGCCAGACCTTGCTAAGCCGTTTACTGTTTACGTGACTGAAAAGGACAAGGTGGCTATGGAAGGGCTGTCCCAGACTATGGGGACATTGGACAGACCCGTGGCTTATTTCCTGTTGCCACTGGGTGGCCGGGATGCTTACAGGCAGTTGCTGTGGTTGCCTTACTGGTCCGGGAGGCAACTAAGCTGACTTTGAGCCAAGATTTGATCATAAAATTTCCACATGAGGTCAACACTCTCTGGCGAGGGGACCCCCATAAACGGCTGTCGACATCCCAGATTACTCCATGCCAGGGACTGTTATGTGAGAACCCCCATGTTACTGTTGAGCCAGTCAGGCCCTGAATCCAGCCACTCTCCTTCCTGTGGGAGGTGGGCCTTCACATGATTGCAAAGAAATCCTAGAAGTTTATGCCAGCAGACCTGACTTGAGAGATCAGCCAATCCCAGACCCAGATTGGGTCCTGTACACCAATGGCACCAGCCTGGTGAAACAAGGACAATGACTGTCGGGATGTGCAGTCGTCACGGAAGAAACCATCATTGAGGCTAGCTCTCTGCCATCACACTGGTCTGCTCAACGGATCAAACTATATGCTCTAATCCGGGCCCTCCAGCTGTCAAAAGGTAAGAAGACAAACATTTACACAGACTCCAGGTATGCTTTTGCTACTTTACATGTACATGGGGCTTCATATAAAGAGAAAGGGGTTTTTTGACAGCCAACAGAAAGGACATTAAAAATAAAGAAGAAATTCTGACCTTATTGGATGCTGTCTGGGAACCAGAAAGCATTGCAGTCATACACTGCCGAGGACATCAAAAAGAGGATACCCCCCAGGCTCTGGGAAACAGATTGGCAGATAAGACCGCTGAACAAGCAGCCGAGGGCTTGGAGGTGACAAGTGATGCCCCTGTTAAAGCTTTGGTACTGGTGGAGCTGCCTGAGCTAACGCTGGAGTACACTGAAGCCTAAAACCAACTAGCCAAAGCGGAAGGGGGCCATCAAGACTGAAAAAGAGATGGTGAGAATTGCCAAGTGGCAAATTATTGGTACCGGAGGAGCTGGCACCCACTCTGATAAGCCAAACACACCAAGCATCCCACCTAGGCCATGATAAACTGGAAGAGCTAATTCAAAAATATTTCTTGGTTCCCCGCCTCTATTCCCTATGCAGGACAGAATCTCAGAACTGCACTGCCTGCTCACAGGTTAATGCTGCCTCTCAGCACAGACAAAAACCTCCAGGGATTCAGCTGAAAGGCCCGCTGCCCTTTGAACACCTGGAAGTGGACTTCACTGAAATGAAACCTCACTGACACTGCCATTACCTGCTGGTATGTACCTGCTGCTACATTCTCGGGATGGGTAGAAGCTTTTCTTACCCAGACTGAAAGAGCATCAGAAGCAGCCGGGTGCCAGCTTAGGAAAATAGTTCCCAGATTTGGATTTCCTACCAGCATTGGATCAGATAATGGCCTGGTTTTCGTAGCTGATTTAGTACAACAAGTAAACAAAACTTTAAACATCAAATGGAAACTGCACACTGCATATAGGCCCCAGAATTCTGGGATAGTGGAACAAACCAACTGGACACTTAAAGAGACACTCTCCAAGTGGATCATAGAGACTGACTGCTCCTGGGTGGACTTGCTTCCGACAGCTCTGCTCAGACAGGATGACCCTACCGTCCCAAGGCTATTCTACATACAATGTGTATGGAAGCCCCCTCCCATAATAAAACAGGTGTCAGCAAATTTGCCTCAGGTAAGGGGGGATATTTTTGGGTGGACTTTGGGAGTTGGTGATGGACAGGGAGGCCTGGTGTGCTGCCATTCATGGGGTCGCAAAGAGTCAGACACAACTGAGCAACTGAACTGAAGGGGGGATGGGATTTCGCAGCAGATGGAACTGGATAAGGTAATCAGGTAACTAAGTCTGTACAAGAAAGGGTGCTGTTCCCCTTTGGGGAACAGATTCATGAGTTTATGCTTGGTGATCAAGTATGGGTCAAAGATTGGAAACATGATTTACTAGTACCTCGGTGGAAGGGCCCTTAGACTGTTATTCTAACTACCCCTACTGCAGTTAAAGTTACAGGTATTGACCCTTGGATCCATCATATGAGGGTGAAAAAAGCATACCATGCAGACCCAGAAAACCCTGAGTGGACTGCGCAGAGGGACCCCACTGACCCTTGAGAGACCAAGATCATCCTTTAAAAAAAAAAAAAAATCCCAGACGAGCCCTTTCAGGATAAAGCCTCATAGTAAACTCCTGCTGCTTGGTCTCATCAACGTGCACATTCTTACATGGACTTCCACAGTACCTCCAACTGCTGAGTATGTGGGGCTATGCCTCTGTCTGTGATGGATGGACTTCCCTGGCGGGTGTCACCGCTCCGCCAAGGAGATTTTCAACCACTCTGCTCTTTTCTGGGACAACAAAAAGAGACTGCTCTCTCTCTCGTCAATCATAATCTCTCCCTGCTCTCTAGGTATAAGCCAGACCTACAGTCAATAAACTTGGGTCATGGGGTTACATATTATGGAAACACCAGTTTCATAAAAGTAACAGAAGAGGTAATTCAAATTAGAATGGTTTTGGACATGCTCACAGCTGCTCAAGGAGGGACCTGTGCTATAATTAAGGTTGTGTATATATTCCTGATTTATCTGGCAATGTATCAGCTGCTTTAGATGATATGGAAAAAAAAAAAACAGGTAAAAGCAACATCAAGTGAAAACACTCCTTTCTGGATTTTGGTACTATCTTGGGTGAAGGGTGATCAGTGGAAAACAATATTTACCATTGTTATAGTTGCCTTGACAGTTCTGCTCTGTGGATCCTGCATTTTACAATGTATTATGAACTTTGTAACCCAAAGGTTGGTGGTGTTCTCCCAAATTGGCGGTCAGAGAGCTAGGGTGCAATATATCCTTATGAATGATGCTCACACTATAAGTTAAGATCATCATCAGGGGAGACTGAAAGAGGAAACAGACAGGCTCTATCTTCAAAGCAGGACTCCATCTTGGGCCGGACTGTGGACTTTGAGCTATATGCCCAGTATCTATGGAAACAACATACCAACTGGAAAACCTGGTGCCTGGAAGGAAGAGCCCCAGGGCTCTCCACCGCCTAAAAGGATACCTTAATTATCTGTGTAACTGAATAGAACCATACATTCTATTATGCTTATTGGGGTATGACCACAGCGCTATTGATAATTGTCCACTGTTAACTACCTAGGCTTAAGGCTATTGGTCATGGGTTAACTTTGATTGTATCTTTCTTTTTCCTTTGTTCAGACTAGTTTCAGGAAATCTTATACACTTAGGGTATATAAAGTGAAAGTGAAGTTGCTCAGTTGTATAGACTCTTCCGCGATCCCATAGCCCACCAGGGTTCTCTGTCCCTCGGATTTTCCAGGCAGGAGTACTGGGGTGGGTTTTTATTTCCTTCTCCAGGGGATCTTCCCGACCCAGGGATCGATCCAAGGTCTCCCGCATTGCAGGCAGACCCTCTGCGCCATCAGGGAAGATTTTCACAAAAACTGGTTGGGGTCCTTGGCTAACAGCAGACTCTGCCTTGGGCCCTCCAGTGTAATAAACAGCACTCCACTATCTGCATTGTCCTTCTAATTGAGTCTGTTTTCCGGAACGCGTGGATACAACATGACCAGATGGGGAGCCTTGTAGCCTGGAAGACTGACTCCCCTGATCCTGTTAAAAGGATGAAAAGGTCCCATCTGGTGAAAGAAGCAACTCCCAGTCACTAGTTAGGAATCAGCGTCTGCTCTGGCAGTCCTGCTGCTAAGAACTTTAAGGGGATCATCCTATTTGAACACCCCAGCTCCCTGAAGGAAGCGTCATCAGCTCCATTTTTACAGGAGACAGGACTTAGCTCCAAAGCCCGGAAAGACCCAGTGCCTTCCTAAGGTCATTAGGCCGAGAAGAGGCTGAGGGAGGTAAGTTGCGCATAAGTCTCAAATCCAAAGACTGGGAAGGGCTGCCTCCGAAGGAGCTGAGGCCTGGAGGCAGGGAGGCTTCATGGAAGAGGCAGAATTTTCTGGTTCATTCTTGTTCAGCGGGTGGAGGGTGTGTTTGTGGAGGGGGTGGGGAATGGGGGGGATGGCAGCCCCATCGGCCCACTGCGGAGCACCGCAGGTATGAGGAGAGTACAGTAAGCCCCATGGCACTCGACCGCGACAGAACCCCGGAGGCCTCAGAGACTTCCTCTCCAGCCCCCAAGAGACCGCCTCTTGGGGCTATACCTCAGGGGCAAAAAAAGTGACCGTTCTCTTCATAGACGCAAACTAAGCCAGCCCAACGTGGGCCGTGGATGCCGGCACGGAGGTCTGGTGGTCAGTTGGCGACCCGGGAACCAGGCAGGAGGGACCCAACAGCTGCCTCAGACCCCGCGTGGCGCCTCAGCCTCCAAGCCGCACCGGGTAACCACCCTCCTCCGCCCCGGGTCGGAGCTGAGGAGACTTCGCGCCTGCGCAATGAGAGCGCTGGGCCGGCGGCGCGGCGTCGACGACGCGCACGCAGGGACGTTGGGGCGGAGCCCCAGCAGGCTCGGTGCCTCTGATAGGCCGCATCGGGGAGGCGGTGGGGTAAGAGGCGTTCCTGGGCGGGGCCTCGAGGCCGGTTTGGAATTTTTGGCGCGAGCTAGGTCCGCGCGCGTTCACGGGCCGTTCCCTCTCGAGAGTCCCCCCACCCGGGTGTGGGGAGCGGTGGGCCGAAGACCCCGGTCCGCCTGACCGCCCCGAGGGCTCCCGCGCCTTCCGCCGACCCGGAATCTGGGACTTTGCTGAGCTGCGCCCCGCCCACCCGCCTCAGGTGAGCCCACGCCCAGCCCTGAAGGGACCGGAAAGGACCGCCCTCTCCTCCCTTCTGCCTCCTCGCGAGCAACTCAGCCCCCCTGACTGGCCTTCCTTGGATCTGCCTCACCCCCAACCCTTCCCGCCTCGCTCCTCACCCCTCGGACAGCCCCAGCCCTCCCTGGGCCAACCCTACCCCACTGCTCAGCCCTCCCTGGGCCCCCTCTGCCGCGGGCGGCTCCGCCCACTTCCCCTCTAGAAGCTCGTCCCTCCTTCGCGGGGCCTCCCTATCCCCTTTCTGGGAGCCCCTTACCCCGGCGACTACTCCATTACTCGTCCTCCCCAGGAAAAGCTCCTCTCCCGTGACAGCAGGTCTGTTCCACTCTGTTCGCCAGGGTTTCCCCACGCCCACGGAGGTGAATCAGCTTCGGTCCTGCCCTGGAGGAACTCACAGTCTAGTGAGGTAGACCGTGGTCAGTAGATGGCATTCTACTTAGTGAGAGGGTGAGGCCCCTGAAAGGTCATCCCGGCCTGGCCTCTGGTTGGGGCCGCCCTGGATTCACCGGGAGCCCCAACCTCTCCTCCCTGCCCCACCCCACCCCACGCCACCCCCAAAGCTGTTTGGCCATGCCAGAATGTTTAAGTACTCTGGGATGGTGTGAGAATTGGTTTAGGGCCTGGAGGCTGTACTCTGAACGAGCACCCTATGGGGGCCTGACACCCTGGTCCCTCGCTTTGAGAAGCTCTGGGATAGGATTCCTGAGATGGATAGAGGCAGAAGGAGCGTCCCCACAGGCTGCAGGGTGAGTGATCCATGCAGGCCCTCGCGGGGTCCCTCCCCTCACCCCTCACTTACCCAGTCACTGGAGCACACCCTCAGATGACCGCCCCCTCCAGTTTCAGTTAGCGACTCACCCCCCTGTGCTGAGTATGCACTCTTGATACACTGTGGCTCTTCTCAAGATTAGACTCTTCTCCTTTTTTTTTTTTCCTTTTTTCTTTCAATTATAACATTATAGCCACACAATAGCCCTCTCTGCTCCAACAGAAAAGTCATTTATACCCATGGGACCACTGTCTTTTGTGTATTCTTTCAGTTACTACTCAGAGCATTATATAACACACACTGAGGGATCTGTGTGCCAGATGCTAGACTAAGCCTTCCTTGAAGCCAGCATTACTGGTCCACAAGCCCCTGAGTCCAGGTGTGTTTCCTGGACTAAATGTCTAAATTCTAAAATGTCTCCAATTTTAGAAAGCTAATAGGGTGCATGTAACATATGTAACGGGCTTCCATCATAGCTCAGTTGGTAAAAAATCTTACCTGCAATGCAGGAGACCCAGGTTCAATCCCAGGGTTGGGAAGATTCCCTGGAGAAGGAAATATCAACCCACTCTAGTATTCTTGCCTGGAGAATTCCATGGCCAGAGGAGCCTGGCGGGCTACAGTCCATGGGGTCGCAAGAGTCGGACACAACTTAGCAACTAAACCAACCAACCAACCAACCAACATATGTAACACCACCCATTCATTCATCTGGGGCATCATCTCATAATCAAATGCATTAGTATTTCTATACGAATATTTACACTTAGAAGGAAAAATAGGCTGGGTCGAATTTTTCTTCTAAATGAGTATTGCATGTAGACACCCAGTTGTCCCAGCACCATTTATTGAAAAAACCATTTCTTTCCTACTGAATTCTTTTGGCACCCTTGTCAAAATCAATCAACTCTAAGTGTGAGGGTTTATTTCTGAACTCTCAATTCTATTCCATTGATCTTCATGTCCATTCTTACATGAAGAGGGTGGGGCGTTTTCAGTAATGAGTCATTTTCCTCTTGCTACTCCCGAGATTTTCCCCTCATGTTTGGTTTTCAGCACTTTTGATACTGTGTGTGCGTATCTGCATTTATCCTACTTGAAGTTCATTGAGCTTCTTGGTTATTATTTTTACAATCACATTTGGGAAGTTTTAATCCATATTTTTCTAGCTCCTTCTCTTCTTTGGTGTACCTATCATGCATATGTTGGTTCACTTTGTTGTTCAGTCACCAAGTTGTGTCTGACTCTTAGAGACCCCATCAGGCTTCCCTGTTCTTCACTGTCTTCACATCGAACTGATGTCCATTGAGTTGGTGGTGCTATCCAACCATCTCATCCTCTGCCGCCCCCTTCTCCTCCTGCCCTGGATCTTTACCAGCATCAGCGTCTTTTCCAGTAAGTCGGTTCTTCGCATCAGGTGGCCAAAGTATTGGAGCTTCAGCTTCAGCACCAGTCCTTCCAATGAATATTCAGTGTTGATTTCCTTTAGGATTGACTGGTTTGATCTTCTTGTAGTCCATGGGACTCTCGAGAATCTTCTCCAGTACCACAGTTCAAAAGCATCAGTTCTTTAGCACTTAGCCTTCTTTATGGTCTAACTCTCACATCCGAACATGATTACTGGAAAAACCATAGCTTTGACTATATGGACCTTTTTTCGCAAAGTGATATCTCTGCTTTTTAATAAGCTGTCTAGGTTTGTCATAGCTTTTCTTCACTTAATGCTATCCTATATTTCTCTGCAGCTTGTTTCCCTTTTCTTCATCTGGTCTTCAGATTGCATAATTTCTATCACTCTTCAAGTTCACTAATTATTTCTTCTGCCAGTTCAAATCTACTTTCAAACCCCTTAGGTGATTTTTTTCATTTCAGTTACATTGTACTTTTCCAATTCTGCATTTGCTTCTTTTATAATTTCTATCTCATTATTGATATTCTCTACTTAGTTGAGATGTTGTTATCGTGTTTACTTCAAGTGTGGCTTCCTTTAGTTCTCTGCACATTATTCATAGTGGCTTGCTTCATTGATTATTCTAAAGCATGGATAACAACAAACTGGAAACTTCTTAAAGAGATGGGAATACCAGACCATCTCACCTGACTTCTGAGGAACCTGTATGGAGGTCAAGAAGCAACAGTTAGAATCCAGCATGGAACAACAGACTAATTCAAAAGGAAAGAAATACCTTAAGGCTATATATTGTCACCCTGCTTATTTAACTTATATGCAGAGTACATCATGTGAAATTCTGGGCTGGATGAAGCACAAACTGGAATCAAGATTGCTGGGAGAAATATCAATAACCTCAGATATGCAGATGATACCACCCTGATGGCAGAAAATGAAGAGGAAGTAAAGAGCATCTTGATGAGAAAGGAGAGTGAAAAAGCTAAATTAAAACTCACCATTCGGAAACTAAGATGGCATCCAGTCGCATCACTTCATGGCAAATAGATGGGGAAACAATGGAAACAGTGACAGACTTTATTTTCTTGGGCTCCAAAATCACTGCAGATGGTGACTGCAGCCATGAAATTAATAGACCCTCCTTGGAAGAAAAGCTATGACCAACCTAGACAGCATATTAAAAAGCAGAGACATTACTTTGCCAACAAAGGTCCATATAGTCGAAGTTAACGCTTTTTCCAGTAGTCCTGTATGATTGTGAGAGTTGGACCATAAAGCTGAGTGCCGAAGAATTGATGCTTATGAACTGTGGTGCTGGAGAAGACTCTTGAGAGTCCCTTGGACTGCAAGGAGATCAAACTAGTCAATCCTAAAGGAAATCAACCCTGAATATTCATGGAAAGGACTGATGCTGAAGCTGAAACTCCAATACTTTGGCCACCTGATGCGAAGAGCTAACTCATTAGAGAAGACCCTGATGCTGGGAAAGATTGAGGGCAAGAGGAGAAGGGGATAACAGAGGAAGAGATGGTTGGATGACATCAGTTTGAGCAGGCTCTGGGAGATGGTGAAGGACAGAGACCTGGTGTGCTGCAGTCCAGGGGCTTGCAAAGAGTCAGACACAACTGAACAACTGTGAAGTCTGTCTGTTAAAGATACCTGCTGTGTTTTTTTCCTGTGTATGGGTCACACTCTCCTATGTGTTTACCTATTTGTAATTTGTTGTTGAAAACTGGACATTTTAGATTGGTTCCTCACTCTGCACCTGGGGGCTTGGGATTATTTGCTTGTTTGTTTAGTGACCAGCTGGACCACAACAGGGATGTCTCTTTCCTCTGCAATGTGAAGCCTTTGACTTTGCTCCTCAGAGGCCCTGGCCTTGGGCCTGTGCACAGTCACCCTGGGACACTAGCGTTTTAGGGGTGCTCTGTCTCTTCCCTGATCATAGCCAGCTGTCAGGCCCTAGCAGTTGCTGGCTGATTGCTCTATTGTTTTTGACAATGCCCTGGAGCATCAATTGCGCCACAGACTGATCCAATCAAATTTGGACTTTAAAGGGGTATCTTTGGAGTTCCAGACTTAAGGTTTGTTCTGACCCCAGGAAGCCTCATCTTAGCTATGTCTTTCCCCAGTTCTCTCTGGTACACTAGCTGCCCTGTGGTTCAGCCAATAGCACTAATGGAAGTACCAGCCTCTTGCTAACTGCTTATTGGCAAAGCCTCCATTGATTTTGAGAGTACCTTTAGGCTTGAACTTCTCATACTGTGTTACTAGTCAGGTCAGTTTTTTGCAGAGAGAACTTTGGAGCTCTCTGTTTCCTGACCTGCCTCTCCCCTGGGCAGAATCTCTGAGCTGGGGGCACGGACAGTGCAGCCTGTCTCTGAATATCACCGCTGCCTGAGAGTGGAGGCAGTAGCCCCTGGCCTCCTTGGCTGGCCTTTGCTAGTGTGGTATCTTCTCCTGAGGAATGAGCTGGGACTTGAACTACTGGGCTCCTGTATTGCAGCTTCCTGCAGCTCAGTTAGAGCTCCTGCCCCATGAGTGGCTGGTGAAAGAAGGGAGCCCCAGTTTCTCTGCTACACTCAGTGGAAGCTTAGTCTCTGCCACATGGAGCTGGAAAGAAGCCCCAGTAACTGAGTTTTAGCAGCTCAACTACGAAAAAGTAAGGAAGAAAGACATTTGGAATTCAGACTTCCTTTTTTCCTTTGGAATCGGAGATAAGGGGTAGTGGGCCTGTGTTAATATTTCTAACTTACAGTCTCGGAAGAGATTGGACTTTTTTTTGTAAGTTTTAATTTGATTTTATTTATTTATTTTTTTATGTTTCTGGCCATGCCCCAGGAGCCTGGCGGGCTACAGTCCACACGATGGCAAGGGGTCGGACACAACTGAGTGACTAAGCACAGCACAGTACATGTGGCTTGGGAGATGTTAGTTCCCTGACCAGGGATTGGACCCTGGGCCAGGGCGGTGAAAGTGCCAAGTCCCAACCACAGTTCTGCCAGGGAATTCCCAAAGGTTGGATATTTTAAGGCTAAACCAGGCAGGGCTGTGCACGCAGATGGTCTGGCTTCAGAACCTGCCTTGGTTAACCTCTGTCGGACTGTGGGAGCCTCTGGGACAGGACGCTGTGGTTTTCATTTTCAGTTTGTGTTTTTCTACCCTGGGGGACGTGGCAACGCATTCATTTGTATACCTTTTCCTGCAGGTGCTCAAGGTGCCGCGGCCTCCATGCCTAAAGCGGAGCGTGTGTGTGGTGTCGATGCAGCTGTCTTCTGCAGCCTCTTTGGGGCCACAGGACCAAGCGCCATTTGAGTGACACACTGCACTCTACTCCCGGGGGTGCCTGTGCTGGACATGCTCATGCCCGCCGAGGGCACCCCGCCACCCCTGGGTGGCACTCCTGTCCCAGTCCCAGCCTACTTCCGCCATGCAGAGCCTGGCTTCTCCCTCAAGAGGCCCAGGGGGCTCAGTCGGAGCCTCCCGCCCCGGCCCCCTGCCAAGGGCAGCATCCCTGTCAGCCGCCTCTTCCCTCCTCGGACCCCAGGCTGGCATCAGCCCCACGCCCGGCGGGTGTCATTCCGGGACCAGGCCTCTGAGCCCCTGCAGAGCCCCGGGTATGATCCAAGTCGACCGGAGTCGTTCTTCCAGCAGAGTTTCCACAGGCTCGGCCGCCTGGGCCATGGCTCTTATGGGGAGGTCTTCAAGGTGAGTTGGTGACAGCTCCGTAAGTCTGTTTGGGGTCCCTCCCCCCCATCCAGGGTGGGATGGTATCCAGGGAGCCTGCTCCCCACCTCTCCCCTGACGGCCCCCCTCACAGGCTGGCAGGCTCCCCTCAGTGCTGGACTTGGCTGCTTTCTCATACCCCCCTAAACAGTCCCCTCTGAGGCCCCTCAGTACACACTCTCCCTTTGTCCAGAGCCTGGCATGCCTTGCAGTGGCTCCTGCCTGCCATCTCCTCCTGCCCGGAGCCTACCGTCTGGGGGTCTTGGCAGCTCCACCTGGCCCCTGAGCCAGAACCACCCCCCCTCCCCACCCCCTCGCCATCTCCCTCCAGCCTCAAGCATTCAGGCAACTCCTCCATGCCACCTTTTGTTCCTTAAAATATATTTTCCAATCATGTATATTTCCTTCAAAATGTAGTTTTCCTTACACAAGTACTACACGAAGACAATTTTTTTAAAAAGTACAAACAGAAGCCCCTAGGTCAGCTCTCCATTCTGGAGGAAACCAAGATGATTGTCAGGTGGGGGTCTTCTTTCTAGATTTTTCTCTGGAGTTGACCACATAGAGACGAAGCCATTTCATAGGCTGCATGCAGACCACACCGCCTTGCTATTCTCTAGGCAGCTTCTTCATCTAACACATCCTCCTGGGCCAGTACTTAGAGGTCTGCCCCGTCTCTTCCATCGCTGGGTCTCCAGCAAACTGGCTCGTGGGGTGGAGGTTTGTCCAGCTTTGCTCTTGCACACACAGGGGTCCCTCTAAAGTGGCTGCCATGCGACACCTCCTGCACACGTGACATCTGAACCGAACCTCGGGCTGGTCCCAGGTGGTTGTGCCCCCTCCCTTCCAGGTGCGCTCCAAGGAAGACGGTCGGCTCTACGCAGTGAAGCGCTCCATGTCGCCGTTCCGGGGCCCCAAGGACCGAACCCGCAAGCTGGCTGAGGTGGGCGGCCACGAGAAGGTGGGGCAGCACCCGCGCTGCGTGCGGTTGGAACAAGCCTGGGAGGAGGGCGGCATCCTGTACCTACAGACGGAGCTGTGTGGGCCCAGCCTGCAGCAGCACTGCGAGGCCTGGGGCGCTGGCCTGCCCGAGGCTCAGGTCTGGGGCTATCTGCGGGACACCCTGCTGGCCCTGGCCCACCTGCACGGCCAGGGCCTGGTCCACCTGGATGTCAAGCCTGCCAACATCTTCCTGGGGCCCCGGGGCCGCTGCAAGCTGGGTGACTTCGGGCTGCTGGTCGAGCTGGGCGCGTCGGGAGCTAGCGAGGCCCAGGAGGGAGACCCCCGCTACATGGCCCCCGAGTTGCTCCAGGGCTCTTACGGGACAGCAGCAGATGTGTTCAGGTGAGGGCTGGGGGGAGGGGGGCTTCCTGGTGGGTGGGGCGTGGTCAGCAGAGGGACACCAGCCCAGCCCAGAGTCAGGAAGACTTGGTCTCAGGCCGGAAGACCCTGCCTTAGGGGCGAGAGGGTCGGGAGGGCTAGGCTGTCTAAGCAGAGAAGCCTTCAGAGCCACCTTACGTGATTCAGTGGCTTCCTCACCACACCTCCCTGGGAGAAACTGTATTACTCCATTTACAGGGGAACAGACAGCAGATGGAGAGACTTAAGTCCACAGTTAGCAGGCGGTGAAGCTGGGCCTGGACCAAGCGCTGGGTTCCAAGGTCCACGCCAGTCACCCCTGCCCTGACTCTGACAGTAACATCCAGTCACATCAACAGGAGGAGGAGAGCCTCACCGTTAAATCACTGTTAGCAACCAGAGTGCCAGTCCCGTGAGGGCGGGGGCTGCTGGAGGGACTCACCACGGTGGTGTGTGGGCCATGCTGGCCCGGGGGTCCACGCTCCACGAGGTGGTTCCTGTCATCAGCCCCTTCTCCCCCAGGGCCCTGGCTCACAGTGGAGGCTAGCAACCCTCTCCGTGGGGTCAGCCGGGTCGCTGGGTTTTGCATCTCACAGCCCTCCCCACCCCCTTCTGTCCCCGTCCCCCAGCCTAGGCCTCACCATCCTGGAGGTGGCGTGCAACATGGAACTGCCCCGCGGTGGGGAGGGCTGGCAGCGGCTGCGTCAGGGCTACCTGCCCCCTGAGTTCACCGCTGGTGAGTCAGGGAGCGAGGGCTGGGGGGCTGTCTGCCGCTGGGAGGACAGGCTCTGGGGGTCGGGGCGGCTGTGGTGACAAGGGGCTGGGAGGCACAAGGCCCCATCCCTGACGTGGCCCTGCCTGGGGACAGGCCTGTCCTCTGAGCTGCGTTCCGTCCTCGTCATGATGCTGGAGCCTGACCCCAATCTGCGGGCCACCGCCGAGGCCCTGCTGGCCCTGCCCGTGCTCAGGCAGCCACGGCCCTGGAGCGTCCTGTGGTTCATGGCCGCCGAGGCCCTCAATCGAGGCTGGGCCCTGTGGCAGGTAAGCAGGGAGGGTGACGGGCCGCCTGGCTCCGCTCCCCGCCCAGGGCCTGCCCGGCCTCCCCTGAGCCCGTGTCCCTGCAGGCCCTGCTCTCCCTGCTCTGCTGGCTCTGGCACGGGCTGGCTCACCCCGCCAGCTGGCTGCAGCCCCCGGGTCCACCGGCCACCCCACCCGGGTCGCCGCCCTGCAGCCTTCTCCTGGACCGCAGCCTCTCCAGCACCTGGGGCGACGACAGCATAGGGTGGGTGAGGACTCGGGAAGGGCGGCTGAGGGCAGGGTAGCGGGGAACGCACCCACAAACCTGGCCCCCTTCAAGCCCAGGGAAGGAAACCAAGGCTGGTGGGGGTGTGGCCTGGCTTAGTTTGAATGCAGTTCTTTCTAAACTTGGTGTGTGGAGCAGGGTCTGTACTGAGCAGAGAACTGGCAGCCTCCCACCGAGGGTGCTGCCACTCTAGGGGGCTGCTCGGGGCCCACCGCACTGCCGAGAGGCGGGCGGTGCAGCCTCCACCCCCGCAGATACCACTGGCACCCGAGGACAAGGCGTCATCTTTCCTCTGGGGGACAAAACCCGCAGCGCCTGGCGAGCCCCTTCCCTGGGAGGAGGAATTCCTTAGTCCCAGGTGCCTGGTGGCCAAGTGACAGGCCGTAATTAAGAAACTACTGCAAAGGAAACCACATGCTCGGGGCAGGCAGTTCTCAAGAGGGTTCATGCCATCACCCATGGGAGCACATTATAACAGACAGCCTGCCAGATGAGCTTCATTTACCACAAGGTCATTTCAGAGTCAGCTCAGTCAGAGCCTCCGTGCTTTAAGGGACAGAGGTGGCCTTTGTGTGTGGTCAGGTGGACTTTGGAAACTGTCAAAGCACTTCTTTCAACATCCACCGCACATCCATTGTCTGGCACTGGCCCCTGCCTGCATCAGGCGGATCCCACCAGGGACAGGTGGGCGTTGCTGCCCCGGTGCCCTCCCCCCACAGCCTGCTCGTCTTGCCCCCCGTGCAGGCCCTCACTGTCTCCAGAGGCCATCCTGGCCAGGGCTGCCGGCAGCACCTCCACCCCCCGCAGTGGCTCCCCTGCCCCCCGGAGCAGGCACACGCCGAGGTGAGCTGGCCCAGGGTCCTGGGGTGGGAGGGGGCGGCTCTTGGTCCTGAGTCATTTCTCTGTTCTTCCTGCCCCCCAGGGATGCTCTGGACCTGAGTGACATTGACTCAGAGCCCCCTCGGGGCACCTTCCCTGCCTTTGAACCTCGGAACCTCCTCAGCCTGTTTGAGGACTCCCTGGGCCCAAGCTAAGCCCACAGGCCCAGGCTCAGCGCTTTTAACCTCTTAGCCCCTCCCTTCCATCCTCCTGGAGGCTGGGGTCCCTGTGTGGACTCCAGTGGTCCCTTCTGCCTGGCTGTGTCTAATAAAAGGTATTTGAATCTTGGGGCGCACCCAAGCTTGCTTGTGTGGCAACACAGTGCTTCCTGCACCCTTTTATTGATGTCACCTAGGGCCTGAGGCCCCCGGGACAGGCTGAGCTCTGCTGCAAGTCCCCAAGCCTCAGGCCAGCAGATGAACTGGGAGCCACCGACTGTGTGGCGCAGAGTTCCTGAGCAGGTGTGTCGCTGGTGGGCAGGTCAGTTGTCAGAGCACTCACTCAAGGTGGAGGGTGGGCCCTCAGCCCAGAAGGGCCGGGTCCAGGGCCGGCCAGCGCTTTAGGTCTCTCTGCCAGTTGCCTGGAAAAAGCAGCAGCTGCCCTCCTGCTCCTAGGTCCAGGGGTGAGTCTAGTCCTGATGCCCAGACCCCTCAATCCACAGTCTGGACAGAAGGGAAAACCGGCGGGCGAACATCAGGCTGCTGGGAGGGCTGGCCTACAGGGCGGATGGACAGAGGCCATGAAGCAAGGGCAGGAGGCTGGGCAGCCATGAGGAGCCTTATGTGAGGTTCCGAGGAGGCCCAGGATGAGCGATGGCTCTGGGCTGGCAGGATCACAACTATCCCTTTGGCCCAAATCTCAGAAGTCATACAGAGGGTAATCAGAGGCCCAGAAAAAGGAAGGTTGCCTTTCAACCTACGCAGTAAGACTTAAGTTCCCTGGAAGAAGGCAGGCAGGGCCACTGGAGCTCCAAGGTGTGAGTAGCAGTAGCTAGTCCACAGGGAAGACAGGATGAACGGATGGAGGCCCCCGCCGGGAAGTCCCGTTTGCGAAGCGTCCAGGGAGCCATCCCCTTGCAGGCCAGCAGAAAGCATGGCGCCGTTGGCCCTAGAAGCCTGGGGGCATGGCAGGCGGGAGGTGGCTCAGTCCGGGAGGCAGGTGTGCCGGGCGGCCCAGAGCAGGTCGGGCACAACGCCAGCGTGCAGCTGGAGGATGGAGCCCACGCTGAGCAGGTGCATGATCTGGTGTGAGTTACCCCAGTAGTCGAAGCGGCCGGGTACCCAGCGCTCCGGCAGGCGGGCCACGTTCACCAGCCCCCCAAGCAGTGCCAGCGCGTCCATGCGCAAGTAGCAGCGCAGGGAGCCTGGAGCCCCGGAGCCCAGCCCCGCTCCCCGGGCCCCGAACACCAGGAGGCGGGCGCCGGCCTGCCAGCCAAAGGCGCGGAGCCGGGCACTGGTGGAGGGGGCGGTGAGGGCCCGCCAGCCAGCCACACCCGACAGCAGGGTGTAGCCCAGCAGGGCAGCGGGGCGCAGCCAGGGCCGGCAGGCCAGGGTGCAGTGGATGATGGGCAGGGCTCCTGCGCAGAGGAGAGAGGCGGGAGAGGGCACATCAGTCCGTGGGTCCACCTGCCCTCTTGCTTCCAGATTTCCTGACTTCTGCCCTTTCTACCCAGGGCTCACGTGAGTGGACCCGACCCCCAGCTCCCGTCCTTCAAGCCCCCCGCCCCCCACCCCCCGCCCTGCTCACCGAGAGTGTTGATGAGGCAGACCCCACACATATCCAGGGCAAGGAGCCGGGTGTACACAGGGCTGCCCCCTTTGTGGCACATGAAGAGGTGATAGAGCACAGAGCCTGCAGGGGGGGCCAGGCAGGCCACACAGTGTGTACCCCACAGCCAGCCATCCTCGCCCAGCTGACCCCAGGGCATGGTCATGGGCAGCAGCACCAGGAAGCCCAGCAGGGCCAGTCCTGGGGGAGGGAGACAGTTTTCCATCAGACACCTTCACACTGAGGACAAGGCATGTCCCCAAGGAGGCCCCAGTCCAGAAACAGCACGGCGGGGTGAGCGCAACACAGATCCAGAGGAGGCTGTGGGCCAGCTGCTGGCCGGCCCTGGGCTTCTGATCACTTGATTTAGCAGAGCTCACAGTAGTTCTGGGAAGGACAGGCCTTTATCCCCACTGACCGGTGAGGAAACTGAGTCCCCGCCCCAGGTGATCCCAGCAAGGAAGCAAGGGAAGCAGCACAGAGCCCAGGCGGCCCTGACCCCGGAGCTGTGCTCACCCTTGTGGCGGGTTCCCTGGAAAGCAGGGGCCCCCACCCCCAAACCTGACTTCAGCAGGAGTCAGAAGGAGGCATGACCCCAAGCTGAATTCTGAACAGGACATGTGGGCGATGCTAACATGCATGCCAGGGCCACTCTGCCTGTTTCTTCCCAACCCCTGTGCCCTCTCTCCAGAAGTGACCAGACAAATGGAGGGCCTTTCTGTCATCTTGAGGCGAGGCCAGGGAGGAGGCTGAAAGAACCTGCTCTGTCTCCTACCCCACCACCTTTTTGGGGAGCTCCATGCCTCCCAGCCCAGGCCTTCAGGGCCATTCCTACCACTTCTTGCAGGCACTTTGGCATTGCCTTCACAGGAGTCAAAGTTCAGCGCCCGCGGGCTGGGGCCGCTAACTGCCCACTCTTGGCAGGGCCTGGCCAGGCCACAGTCCCCCCAGGGAGCAGGTAGGAAGGCCAGGCCCAGCGCACTCAGCGCCCCTCTCTCAGCCGCCTGCCTGCCGCCTGCCGGGGCAGGCCAAGGACGGGCAGGCCTGTGTCAGCACGGACGGTTCGGCGGGGCAGCGGAGGAGGGGCCCCACTCCTGCGAGGGGAGGAAGGAGCCGCCACCAGGCGGAGCCCCGCGGCTGGGCGGCTCGGGCTGGGGCCTCAGGGCCGCCGGGCCTGACTTCCTCTCTTGGGCCCCTCCTCGACACCCATCTCCGGGATGGGTGCTGGCGGGAGACGGTGCCAGGGCGCAGGGATTACGAAGCGGCCGGACACCAAGCTCCTTCCCAGGGCTCAGAAGGATTAAGCAGACTGGGTCCCCCACTCAGCTTCCCTCGCCTGCCCCCGGGGCCCCGCCGGGGGAGCAGAAGCGGGTAGCGACGTCCGGGACAATGGCAGCTTTGTCACTGTGGCTCCTGGCCGTGCCAGGGCCGGGACAGCCCAGGACCTGGGCTCTGGGGCTCTCCTCGGCCTTTGGGAGGTGATGGGGGGTGCGGGGCGCGGCTCACCGTGCGTGTAGATGTTGCCCAGCTCGTTGTGCATGTAGAAGAGGCTACGAAGGCAGCCCGAGCCGCTGCTGGCCGGCCGGTAGCCAGTGAGCACGAACTTGTTAAACTGCAGGTGAGGCGGCGAGCTGGCCCAGTCCAGCAGGCGCGGCCCGGCCAGGAACGCCATGGTCCGGTCCAGCGCGGTCGGTCCGCGTTCTTTTGCCCCCCCGACCCCCCGGTCTCCTCAGTGGGCCCGCCGCACCGGAGCCTAGTCCCCGCGCCCGCCCACCTCTCAGGGCTCTGTCCGCGCACGCGCTGGCCCGGGGGTCCCGGCCCGCGCCCCTCCCGCGCTGCGCACGCGCGGGCCTGGCGACCCCACGCTGAGGCGGAGGCCGGGGACGAGCGGGGCGCCGGAGCGCAGCGCGGCCCGCTCCGCTGGGGCAGGCGCTCTGTAGGGACAGCTTGTGGCGGCGGCGGCAGCCAGTTTTCTTTTGGCGGCCCGGAGGACGGGCGCGGCCGGACACGGGAGGGGACGCCAGGCTCCGCCCCAGCTGCTCGCCCCCGTCATCCCGCCCAGGGTTTCGCGCTCCGGGCTCCTGACGTTGCAGCTGCGAGGGCCAATGGGCGCGGCCGGCGGGGAGGTTCCTCCAGCGGCCTCTCAGGCCTTCACCCTCTTAAGCATAATTTTTTTCGGTCCCAGTCTCACTTGCATGGGGTGCCTGTTGGATTGGGGCGCGACGTTCTAAGTCCCGGTGGCTCTGCCAGAGTGAGCCGGGAGCCTCGCGTTCCCTTGCAGTGGTCGCCCGGGCTTTCCGCGGGAGCCCCAGGGTCGACCCACCCTTGGGCATTCACCCTCCGGGATACAGCCCCGCCACCCTGCCCCGTCCCCAGAGCCCGGGCTCTGTCCAAGGTGCTGCCGGCCCGGGACTTTCGGACGGGTCAGGTCTAGAGCCTGCGCGCCACAACTCCACGGGTGATCGCTCCACTCGCACGACTTCCCCGGAGTGCAGCAAGGCGCGCCAAGGTGGCTGGGCCTCTAAGGGTGTGCGTGACTTGCCCGGTGCCCTCCAGTGAGGACCTGCCCTTGGGTCAGGATTCTCTGAGCGTGTGTGTGTGTGTGTGTGTGTGCGCGCGCGCGCGCGCGCGCGCTCCGTCGTGTTTGACTCTTTGCGACACTTTGGACTGTAACCCGCCAGGCTCCTCTGTCCATGGAATTTTTCAGAATACTGGAGTGCGTGGCCATTTCCTCCTCTAGGGCTCTTCCCCACCCAGGGATCAAACCCGCATCTCCTGCGGCTCCTGCATCTCCTGCGGGTTCTTTCCTCGCTGAACCATGAGGGATGGGCGAAATTGTTGAAGCATATTGCACCCCGCTTAGGACCGGCAGGAAACAGTGAAGGAGAGAAGGCAGGAAATAAGGGAAGAAAGTTCAGTATTTCCCCCACCCCCACCCCGCAGGGTTCATTCTAAATCAAATTCACGAAGGTGTCCCTTCTTCCGCCTTCTCCTCCTCCCCTTCTTCAGGATCCCGCCCATTCATCCTTCCGCCTCCTCGGTTTCTCCATCTTCTGCGTCCCAGGCGGTTACAAGAAACTCTTCCCGTGGAACGCCCTTAATTTGCACACAACCAGCCTAGGCACAGTACCTCGTTAACATAGCTCCTCCCGCACATAACAATTTCCCGCGCCCTGTACCAAAACAGATCCTTTATTCAAAGTCTGTGGTTGGTCTTATGACCACTTTTGTTGACCTCTTACATTTCACTTTGGGCGGTAGTCCAGAACTACCCCAAGCAGGGCTCAAAGACCCGCGAACTGAGGTCTAAGAGGAAGGGAAGCAGAATTCCTCTTGTCCTTTGGCCTTGACCATTCGGACCCCGAGGGTCAGGTCAAGTTCTCAATAATAGTAACAGATGCTTCCTGTCCAACGTCTGGCCTCCTTGAGATGACTAGAGCTGCCCTCGAAGGGGCAGAAGGCCAATGCAGACAGAGGGTGGCATAGGGTCTGCGGAGTCCATCCAGCCGCAGGAGGATCCAGTGGACCCTGGGGGTCCCCAAGTCAGAGAGCAGAGATGAGTGAACGCAGGGAACTCTGGCTGGAGGCGCTCAAGGGCCGGTAACTCGCGGTTAAACCCTCAACCTGGGGGTCCCCGGGAGGACAGGGCAGGGCCACCCCTCGAGGCCGGCGGTACCAAACGGCCCAGCTTCTTGTGGGGTCCCGGGAAGGCCTCAACGTTGGGGGCCCTTTACTCGGAGCCAGCCGGCAGCCCCTAGAGAGGGAGCAGACGTCAGCCGAACCCTTCAATCAACCTCACCTCCAGCACCTTGCTTCGCCTGTGATCCCACACGGGACTCCCTGTGTGGACCCAAGGCCTCGTCCCTCAAGAACCCAGGAGTTCCTTCCAGCCCCTTTCCCATCGAGTACTCTAGCGTCCCAGAAGGCCCTCCACGCCCCGGGGGCACAGGGGCGGGGCGACAGGCTCCCCGCCGGCTCCGCCCTCAGGCCCCGCCCCAGAGCGCGCACCGTCCGCGCAGCAGGCGCAGCAGCGACAGCACCAGCAGGAGCAGCACCGAGACGGCCGTCACCGTCGAGAAGACCTGGGCTGCGAGCACACGAGGGCGGTGAGCACGGGGCTTGGAAGGGCCTGACCCCCCAAAACTCGCTCCCGCCTCCCACGCCCGTCTCACCCCCCATCGAGGCCTCTGGAGCGCCAGGCCCTGGGCTGCAGCTCACGTTGGCCCCGTCGAGGGGCGCTGCGGGGGTCTGAGTCGAGCCCTCGAGGGGCGCCGGGTCGGCGTCGGCGTCCTGCAGCCCTGCGGAGACGGGTGTGAGACCGGCCAGCTAAGCGGAGGACCCGAGGCGGGGTGGGGAGTGGCCTCACCGCGGTAGGTGAGCGCGAAGCCCTGAGCGTGGCCTCGCGCGTCGCTGCGGAAGGTGAGCCGCAGCGCGGCGGCGCGCAGGCGCAGAGGACCCGGCGGCGGCGGCCGGGCGCCGTCGAAGGCACGGAGCAGGCTGCCCGAGGCGGCGTCGCGCAGCTCCAGCCGGTCACGCGGGTCGGCCAGCTCGAAGAGGCGGAAGGCGAGCTCCAGCGCGGCGCCCGGAGGGGCCAGCACCCAGCTACAGTTACGATCCGGCCCGTACTCGTCCGGGAAGTCCGGGGAGTAGATGACACCCTGGGGTGCGGTCCAGTTCCCCTGGCAGGAGCCCACGGACACTGTGGGCGGGGCCGGCGGTCAGAACCCGGAGGCCCGCGGGCTCCTCCTTCACGGGGGCGGGGCTCTATGTAGAAGCCCCGCCCCTTCCCCCTTGGCCCGGATCACCGGACCCTCTTCCATCCCAAGTTCAGCCCTGTTAGTTCCGTCCTCCAGCCCCGTCCAACCCGTTCTAGTCAAACCATTAGTCCCCTCCTCTAGTCTTTCCTGGTGGCCCAGATGGTAAAGAATCTGCCTGCAATGCAGGAGACCAGGGTTCGATCCCTAGTTTGGGAAGGTCTCCTGGAGAAGGAAACAGCAATTCACTCCAGTATTCTTGCCTGGAGAATCTCATGGACAGAGGAACCTGGCAGGCCACAGTCCATGGGGTCACAAAGAGTCGGACACGACTGAGTGACCAACAACAACAACTAGTCTTGATCTCAAACCAACTTACCAGGCTCCTCTGTCCAAGGGATTTTCCAGGCAAGAGTACTGGAGCGGGTTGCCATGTCCTTCTCCATCCTTCCTCTAGTCCAACCCCTTCTAATCAAGCCATTAGTCCCCTCCTCTAGTCTTGTCCTCAAACAATTCCTTCATCTAGTCCCGCCTGAGCCCCAGACCCCTGACCCCCAGGTTCAACCCAGTCCCCTCTTCGGTCCAGTCCTCAACCTAATCCCTTAATCAGGCCCTGTCCTCAACCCATGCCTTCCCTTCCCAGATACCTCCCCCTGTCACTCTTCCCCTCACCCAGGCCCCTCATCCCTGCCCACTCCTCACCTTCATAGATGCCCAGGCGCCCATCACCACCACACAGCTGGCCCGGGTGGCCGAAGCAGATCTGATCACAATCGGTGGCAGGAGCTGGGCGTCCTCGGGCCAGGTCACTTTCAGAGCCACAGAAACAGGCGTAGCCAGCCTCCACGCCCGCCAACTGGGAGCACAGACTGGGTGACCCCCAGACAGGGGCTGGGGGTGGGGGTGGGGTGGTGGGAGCCAGGGATCGGGGTTGGAAGTGGGAATCAGGGCTGGAGGTTCGGAAATCAGCGTCAAGGTTTGGCCTCAGAGTTGGATGTTAATTTGGGTTCTGAGGTCAAGGTCAGGGGTCACTGGTCTGGGCAGGTGGGCAGTACCTGGTAGCCCTTCATGCGGCAGAAGCGAAGGCACACCTGGACTGTGAGCTTTGTTGAGGTGCCACTGGGCCCGCTGAGGGCTGGAGGTGCCCCAGAGTCCATGAAGCAGCCCAGGTACCCAGGCACTGAGGGGGCAGCAGGGTCAGGCTCAGTGTGGGGCCTGCAAAATCGAACTCCACCCGGGCAGCCCTGCCGTCCCCATTGTCCAGCCCGGCCCGCTCACTGTGACACGTGGGGATATCGCAGTAGCGCCAGTAAATGCCCTCCTCTGTCTCGGCCACGTAGCACCATGGTTGCACGTCACCATCTGGGTTACTGCAGGCCCAGGAGAAATGGTTGGGATATTGTCCTCCCAAGAACCATGAATTTCAGGCCCTGACCCACAGCTTATTCGCAGAATGGCCACTGTGTGTGTTAGAGTAAATCCTGGTTTGCCCACCAGAATGGATGTTGACTTCCCAGTGCATGGTGGGAAGTCATTAAAGGGGCCCTGGGGGGCTGATTTTAGGTCTTCAGCTGTTGCTCGGACATGACTTCATGTATGAGGACTTCGAGGCCATTTGTGTTCACCCCCCACTCAGCCCTGGGCCTCAGCCACTGTCCCTTGTTTTGGAACCCTGCTTTAAAGCAGACGTGATGGGCCCTAAGCTTTGTGGTTCAGCAGGGAAGTGCCCTCCCACTTAGCTCAGTCCCCGCCGCTTCAGACCACAGCTATGGCTCTGAACCCCCAATCCCTCGGTCACCGCTAGGAGACGTCTCTCAAAGGAGCTGAAAGCTAAGAGCCCGGCCCTCACTCTAGAGCTTGCCCTCTGACTAGGCCCCATCCTCATGGGAGCCTTGGTGCCCAGGTCTGACCTGAGGCTCTGCAAAAAGTTGGACTCCTAAGGCCTGACCCAGGTCAGAAAAGGTTTCCACTCATCGCTTAGGCCCCGCCCTTAGGTTCTTAAGCCGATTCATTGGAAAAGATCTTGATGCTGGGAAAGATTGAGAGCAGAAAGGGGCGACAGAAGATAAGATGGTTGGATGGTATCATCGACTCAGTGGACGGGAGTTTGAGCAAACTCCGGGAGATAGCGAGGGACAGGGAAGCCTGGTGTGCTGCAGCCGATGGGGTCCCAAAGAGTCAGACATGACAGCGAATGAACAACCAGGCCCTCTGGATGGCTTCTGGGCCCGCCCAGCGGAGACCTCCGCTCCGCCCACGCCGCGGCCCGGCCCCAGGACAACGCCCTCAACCCTGCACCGGCCCCGCCCCGCGCAGGTCCCGCCCTCACCGGCAGAAGTTGTGCGCGCCCAGCCCCCAGCGGCCCTGGGGGTCGCTGGCGCTGCTGTAACTGTGCTGCTGCGTCTGGTCCCAGTAGAGGCACGGGCGGCCGGCCCCGCGCGGGCCGGTGCGGTTCTGGTGGCCGCGGTAGTCGGCGCCGTTCACCTGGAAGCACTCGGACAGGCCTGCGCGCGGACGGCGGGGCCTGAGGCTGACCCTCTCCCAGGCCTTCTCCCCACCCTCCGAGGGCTGTTCGACTGCCGCCTCCACCTGCTCTGACCCCTCGTGAGCCGGGCAGTCGGGTTCTAGACGCGCAGGCCGAGTTGGGAGTGCGGCCCTCGGTCCACTCTCCGCGCCGGGACTCACCTGGGCTCTGTAGGCTCCCCGCCGATGCCCCGCGTGGCGGCAGCAGCCGAAGCAAGAGGAGGAGGAGCAGGGCCTTGGGGGGCCGTGTCCCCATTGCCCCCAACCGAGGAGAGATCGCTCTGGCCCGCGCAAGGCCCTCGGCGCTCCCCGGGTCGCTCCCCAGTCTCCCAGGCGTCTGCGGAGGGGGGCGTTGTCCTCTGACAGTTCGTACTCGTCCCGCTCTGGGGCCCGCTCTGGGTCTGGGGCGAGAGGATGGGAGGGCGGGGGAGTATCGCCCAGGGGTATCTGCCTCCTAAAGTTTCTGGCCTTGAAGGCGTCTCTCTGCTCCGTCCCAACTGGGAATTTACCCCGGGGGGGCGATCTCAGGCCAGGGACGTTTCCGGCCTCTGCCTCTCGGGGCTCGGGGTCCTGCCCCGGCTTCCACACCCGTCCCCTCCCGCTGCGCCTAGCTCTCTAAGTCCCTCTCGCCCAGGTCTCTAACGCGCCGGCTCCTGCCCCCCTCGCGTCCCTCCGCGTGTCCCTCCCCCCTGGGTCCCTCCCTCCGTACCCCACCCCCCGAGGCCGGGAAGCCCCGCCCGAGCCTGGAGCCGAGGCAGCAGGTCCAGACGCCTCCCACGCCCGTCCCCCATCTGCGGGACCCTCCGAGGCCCGGCGTTCGTCTCCCCGCCCTTCCCCCTCCCCGGGTCGGTGAAGATTCGGGTGGGAGCGTGTGTAGGAGGATGGCCGGGCTAGTGGACAGAAGGACCCTAACGGGGGAGATACAGGACCGTCTCCCGAGGCCACATGTCCCGGGACTCGCCAGCGTCCCCCGCTCACAGCCAGCCTTGAATGAAGTGTGCGCGCTCTCCCACTCAGTCACCATTCATGGTGAGACGCTCGTACGCGCACCGCCTTTGGATCTTCACGCCTCTCCCTTCCCGGGTCCCGACGCCTCCGGCCTCGGGAAGCGTCACTCCCGGCCCCCTCACCCGCCCGACAGGCTGGAAGGGTGGACGCTCAGCCCGGGACAGGCATGGGCAGCTGGTGTCTGGGGAGGAAGGCAGCTGCGCCCCTGGTCCCAGCCTGTCCCCTCCTCGCCTCCTCCTCCTCTCCCCAGGACCCCCGGCCCGGGCTCGCAGCGCAATGGAATTCCCCCAGCGGTGCCCCCCCACCTGGCGGGGGAGGGGGAGGGGAGCAGGCCCAGGCAGGCGTGGGGGGAAATTCCCCGCCCCCTCCCCCTGGGCCCAACTCCTCCGAGTCCTCTGATCTCCCAGCAGCGCCCGCCGGCTGCCCCCAGGGCTTGGGGAGAGGCCAGCGCAGGTGCGTGGGAGAGCGCGGCGGGGAGGGAGGGGAGGGGGAGGAGATGGGGGGGGGCCCAGAGCCCCAGTCGCCCAGATGTCTTGCCCCTCAGTCCAGCCTCCCAACCCCTCACCAGACCCCACCTTGCTGCCCAGCTTGGAAGGACCTATCTCCGCGCTGTCAGTATCCACACTCCCCCTGTCTCTCCTGGAAGACTGGGGGCAGCAGAGAAGATTCTAGGAAACCCAGAGTGCTGGTGGTGGTGGGACCCCTGAAGACCTCTGCTTGGAAGTCAGTGCCTCAGGCTGGGGGGCTTCCCAAGTGGTACTAGTGGTAAAGAACCTGCCTGCCAACGCGGGGGACAGAAGAGAGGTGGGTCTGATCCCAGAGTCAGGAAGATCCCCTGGAGGAGGGCAGGGCAACCCATTCCAGTATTGCCTGGAGAATTCCATGGACAGAGGAGCCTGGCGGGCTACAGTTCCCGGGGTCAGAGTCATGACTGAAGCGACATAGGCACGTTCGCACACATGCTCGTTGGTGGGGAGGTGCATGTGTCATGCTGGGGTGGCGAGCATTCTAAGAAGCTGGCTAGCTGAGGCTGGAGGCCAGCGCCCTGGTTGCCTCCTGGGGGATCCCTTTCGCCTGCCAGTTTCCTGGCCCTGCTGAGCCCTGGATGAGGGTCTCACTGAACAGGTGAACCCAGCTAAGGAGGGAGCAGTAACACCCATCGACCTGGGCCCCCTTCTCTCTTTTGCTTGTGAGCTTGGGGGCCGCCTTGGCTCCGTGGTGTTCTCCTAGGCTCTGGCCTGGGCCACGGCTGGGGCGACGGGGTTGCAGGGAGAGCCTCACTCTCAAGGGTCACATGAGAAGGGCGAGGTGGAGGACAAAAGACCACAGGGACTCCACCTGCAGAAAGAGGGTCAGCGCTACAGGAATGAGTTCTGGCCATGAGGCATGAGAGGGGGGGAGTGACGTCTCTTGCTCTCAATATTCAAAGTAATAGCGGGGATCAATAGCATTGTCATCACTGGGGAGAAATGCAGAATTCAGAAATGTAGATTCTCATGCTCCACCCCTAATCTCCTTCAAGAGAACCTGCATCAAGCTGCCCGGATCTTAAAGTTTGGACTGCACGGATGTAAAGCCCCGCCAGGTCTGGCCTATAAGCAGCCTCAATTTCTAACTCCTTCATTCGCCAACTGAAAGGAGAGGATACTTAGGGCCCAGGGCAGGGAGGGATGGAGCTGGATTCCTGAGTGACCTTATACAAGGAGCCTGCCAACCAGAAGTATTAGCATGGGGCTCTGCGTGAGTGGAGACATAAACATCTATGTATTCAGCCACTGAGATCCGGGCCTTGCTTGTTATAGCAGCTGGCGCAAGTTAATATACATCCTCTCACCCTCACCCAGTTCTTGTCTCCAGGGCTGCTTCCTACTGAGAGCGGGCAGGGAGAATGTTCTGTGTTTATCGTTGAGCTTCTGGTGCCTTGTTGGCTGTCTTGGCATTCCTTGGCTTGTAGAAGCCACCCATCACCCCGATCTCTGCCTTCATCTTCATATGCGTCTCTCTGTGTGAGCACCTGTGTCCAAATTTCCCCTTTCAATAAGGACAGCAGCCATACTGGACTAGGGGCCACCCTAGTTTGACCCTGTCTAGACTAATCACATCTGGAGTGATCTATTTCCAAATAAAGTCACATTCTAAGGTTCCATGGCTTCCTTGGTGGCTCAGATGGTAAAGAATCTATATACAATGCAGGAAACCCAGGTTTGATCCCTGGGTTGGGAAGATCCCCTGGAGAAGAGAATGGCTACCCACTCCAGTATTCTTACCTGGAGAGTTCCATGGACAGAGGAGCCTGGTGGGCTACAGTCCATGGGGTCACAAAGAGCTGGACACAACTGTGTGACTAACACTTTCACTCATGGAGGTTCTAGGGCTTAGGATTTCTACATGTGAATTTCGGGAGGACACACTTCAACTCATAACATCTCTTGCCCCTGTCCCTTTGCCATCCTTGCTGCCATCTCCCTCATTGGGTCACCACCATCTCCTACTTGGACTAATCACTCTCTCAGTCAAGGTCCAGTGTCCCACGGTTTCTAGGAGCAGCCTCTCCAGCAGCCAGAGTCTTTTTTTGTTGGGAGCGGCTGAGGAGCCATTCTTGGGCCTCCAGAGCCCTGAGGGGGCCGGTGGCTGGGCAGTCATGAGAGACTGCCCTCTGCAGAGCTGTGGTGCGGTTGCGGCCTGAGGCTGGCAGCTGTCCCAGCCTTCAGAGACTTCCTTGGGTACCTCTTGCTTCTGGTCCTTGAACCAGGTAGTCATACCTGATATGGACACCCAGGAGAGAACACCTGGAAGAGGTGTTGTGTGATGGGATTGCAAATCAACCCTGAATATTTCCTGGAAGGACTGATGCTGAAGCTCCAATACTTTGGCCACGTGATGCAAAGAGCCAATTTGTTGGAAAAGACCCTGATGCTGGGAAAGATTGAGGGCAAGAGAAGAAGGGGGCAACAGAGGATGAGATGGTTGGATGGCATCACTGACTCAATGGACATGAGTTTGAGTCCACTTGTCCACTCTCTGATCTCACACTTTCAGCCTCCAGCACTGTGAGAAATGTCAGGTGTTCAAGATCCTCCCCTCCCAGTCCAGTCTATGGCATAATTACGGCAGCTTGAGCAGACTTAAACACTTGGGTTCCCCAAATTCTCCCAGCACCGGAGGAAGGAACCCCATCAACCTGAAGACACAAGGAAACTAGCAGAGACAGTGTTGACCGCTGGATCTGGGGTTTCTTTTTGGGATGATGAAATGTTCTGGAGTTAGAGGTGATGGAGACCCTACCCTGTGAATATACTAACAGCCATTGGACCACACACTTGAGTGGGTGAGCTGGATGTTATGTGGATTATATCTCAATAAGGCTGTTACTGAAAAGAGCCTGACCACTGGCGAAACATGGGGACAAGAGGGACTGTGTCAAGGATGGCCCTGGGTTTCTACTGTGGTGGAGCCATCAGAGGAGCGGAGGACAGTCCCCTTTGCTCCCTGTTCGGCTGGTGACCACAGGAGACCCGGAGCCAAGGTCCTGGAGGCAGCAGGACACTCAGGCTTGGTTGCAGAAGGGAGTGGGGGCTGGAGCTGCACACTGACAAACCGTGAACCCTGAAAGTGGCTGGGCAGAGAGGGCTGAGGTCCAGTCCCCAGAGCCAACCACCTTTCGGATGGGTTGGCCCAGGGCCGTGGGGCCCTTGAAGGAGGTTGGGGGGGGGTGTGGAGAACCCGGGGGTTGCTTTCAGGTCTGCCAGGATCAAGGAGGGGGAGTCAGTGCAGGAGAGCGAGCTCTGAGATGCACCCGCTGACTTTAGTGAGTCTTGGTGCCACCCTGCTGGAGCCGTCTCGATGGAGGACATGGGGGCAGGAGGCTGGGCTGGGCCGGTGGGTGGGCTGGGCTGGGAGAAGCGTTTCAGCGATGCTTGCCTCACACCCCAGGGGCAGGACTCGGGGCGGGAGCCCCTAGAGCCCGCCGCTGCCCCATCTTTAAAATTTGGGTTCTGTGTCAGTAGTTTCCCTTCTCCTTATGAACTTTTACTTAAAATTTCATAATTGAGAGGTTGTTGTGCCATCACCCAAAGGAACACAGTAATACTCTACCAGCTCCACATGGTGAAGACATACCAAAGCAAGTTTATTGCAGGAAGGAGCAGCCGAGCGGAAACAGGCAAGGAGGGCAGGGCTGCGTCCCGCTGCTGCTGTCCGCCAGGGGCCAGCTTCCTGCACGCTTTCCTCTGTGATGGCACCGGGGTGGGGGATGTCTGTCTGGCTCTAGAACCAGGGAGGAAGTGGCCACATGAAGGGGGCTCGGGGGTGGGTAGCTACAGGGCCACCCCAGGCGGCCGCAGTGTCCAGATTCACATCCACTGGGGAGTCCTCGGTCTGAGCAACACGGACCAGCCACCTGCCCTCTGAGGTCACAGCAGGTGCAGAGAGGGGGGCGCGTGGATGGGCCCCATCAAAGGGCGGGGCAGACATGCTGAGAGGCAGGGGAACCGGTGACCCTGTGGGGCTGGGGTGACGCTGGCTGCTAGGACTCAGTGCTTCTGGCCTGGCACCTCGGGGCCCTGTGAGGCTCCCCTTCATGAAACTGAGTGGAGAGCCAGCTGGTGGTGGCACAGACGTGCCTGTCCACTGAACTTCAGGTGCGGCCGCCTCCCATGGGCATCCTCGTCTGTGGGTCTGGATTGGGGTGTATCTGCTCCCCCCAGGGCTGTGTCTTCGGCCTTGGCCTTGGCTGAGAGCAGTTCACTGTCTCAGGGCAAGAGCGCTGCCCAAAATGTAGCCCAGGTGTCGAGTGTCCACCATGTGAGGCCAGCAGCACAACGGGCCTCCTGCCTGGGAGGTGGGGGTGGGCCGTCCAGTCATGTTGCTGGGCCATCTCCATGGCCGCTGGCCAAGCTGGTGGGCGAGGGCCCCGTGGAACTGGCAGTCCAGTCAAGGAATGGGTCAGTTACCTGGGAAGGTAGCCAGGGTCTGGGGGGAGGGGGTCCAGGTGGCCCTAGTTTGGGGGGGCCACTTCCACTTCCAACTTGGCCCAGCTTGTGAAAACAAGTCAGGGAGGACGTGGGATGAGTCAGCAGAGGTCCAAGGCCTTTCTTTCAGCTCCACAAGGGCTGGGGGACCAGCCAGCAGGAGACCCCATCCATGAGCTTTCCGAAGACTCCCACCCGCGCCTGGTCCAGCTGACGCTTGGGCCAGGTGAGCAAACGCTGCCCCAGGTGTAGAGGTCTCCCTCTGCCCAACCAAGCTCCATCACTTCCAACCACGAGGCACAAGGACGCGTGGAGTGTGTGGCCTCCTGGTGGCCATCTGCTGCTGCAGCGGGCATGCAGACACACAGCAGCTCTACACGGCGAGGTATAAAATTGGGTTTATTGCAGGAAGGGTGGAGGCAGAGGGACAGCGGGGGGCGTCCGAGCTGTCACTGCCCCGCAGCCGGACGGCAGGCTACACGGCCAGCTAGGTGGGAGAGGGGGAGCCCCCGGCAATCACAGGGTGGGGGCAAGGAGCTGCTGGCGGGGATGTGGCCCCCTTAGCAAGCTGCAGCCTTGGGTTGGTGGCAGACATTGGCCTGTTGCTCCCGGCTGTGCCAAAAGACAGGAGAAGGGGATGCCCCCGCCCCCATCATCTGTGTCTGTCTCTCCTCTGGCATCAGGCGAACCTGGGCGACCCGGGGCAGTCTGCCCAGAGCAGGCTCTCATGGTGCAACACCACCTGCCCTGGGCATCGTCGATACTGGGGTTGATTTAAGTTGGAAAAGAGCAAAGGAAACTCCAACAGATGGTGTAAAATTCCCCTGGTTTCTGCCTGCTCTGCTACAGGACGGCCACACCCTGGCAGTAGGTGCCCAAGGAGCATGGAGGCCCGCCTGGCACCTGCCCGGCAAACACCACGTGGGGCAGCTCAGCCTGAAGAGGCGGGAACTTCCCCAAACTAGCCCGCCTTCATCTTGACGTGGCCACCACGATGACTTTCTACTTTATGGAGCCCAAGTGGGACCACACCCGACAGGGAAGTCCTTGGCAAAGCTGTGGGCTCTCAGGATGGCTGGGTGTTTGCGGCTCAGCAGGCTGGGGTGGGGGGAGGTGTCTTTGTGAATAGTGCTTCCTTTCTCTGAGCTTTTCGAGGCCTTCACGGGGGTTCCCCCACCCGTCACGTCACCCCACATCACGAACTGGTGCAGGCCACCAGCTCCCGGGACTCATCTCTGCCAGCAGGGAGACACCATCAAGCATTCTTCCTGGGAGGCCTCTGGAGGAAATGTGAAGCCTGTGGATGCTTTGGAGAATGCAAGAGAGGCTTTGTCGAGCAAAATCTAACCAGGTGGGAAGTGCCAGGGTCCTGCAAGGACCTGGAGCATCCTTGACACTGGCAACACGTTAGGTTGGGTTGATTTCTCTGCTGTCAGGCCGGAGGCGGGCCTCACTGGGACTCGCTGTTGAGTTGTATACTTTCCAACTTTCTGAGGACACAGAAACACACATGCGTCATGCAAATCCAAACATGGCGGAAGGAGATAATGAAGAAAGTTAAGGATAATAAAGTAAAAAATGACCCAGCATAAATAAAATGCAAAAAAAAAAAAGGACAGTTAAGGATTCCTATAATCCGTTCCCTCTAGAGATCACCATCAACTAGGTCATTTTTATACACATACATCACATTGGTGCCTTGAAAACATGGAATTGGGAACTCCCTGGCGGTCCAGTGGGTAGGACTTGGTGCTTCCCCTGACATGGCCCAGGGTTCAATCCCTGGTTGAGGAAACTAAGATATGGCTAGCCAAGATGCGTGGCCAAGAAAACAGTAACAAAAGAGAAACCCCATGCCCTTTAACTACACCCCCAACATTCCTCACCCTAGGCAAACTTTAATCTACTTTCTATCTCCATAGATTTGTCCATTCTGGACATTTCATAGAAATGGAATCACACAAGGTGTGGTCTTTTGTGTGTCTGGCCTCTTTCACTTCTCATGTTTTTGAAATTCATCTGTGTTGTAGTGTGTATCAGTAATTCATTCCTTTTTATGGCCAAATAACATTTCATTGTTGGAGAAGGCAATGGCACCCCACTCCGGTACTCTTGCCTGGAGAATCCCATGGAAGGAGAAGCCTGGTAGGCTGCAGTCCATGGGGTTGTAAATTCTTTGTACAAACAGGTAAGAGTGAGCAACTGTCGTCATTTAGGGACAGTGTCAGTCAAGCCCTGGAAGCATCCTGATCTGGACCCTGGAAGCTCAGGGTCAGCCTTACAAACAGGCTATTTTAAGGACAGGAGTTGCCGGCCTGCTGTGTTAAGTCTCTTCTGTATGATATTGACTTACAAACGGGGAAGCAATTTTGGATTCCTGGCATGATTCCCATTTGGTCATGGTGTAGGATCCTTTTCACGTTGCTGGATTCAGTTTGCGGTATTTTGCTGAGAATTTTTGTATCTGTATTCCTAAGAGATATTGTTCTCTAGTCTTTTCTTGTGGTGTCTTTGTTTGGTTTTGGTGCCAGGCTACCGCCAGCCTTCCAGGATGAGTTGGGATCTAGTTCCCTGACCAGGGATCAAACCAGGTCCCCTGCATTGGAACATGAAGCCTTAACCACTAAGACCACCAGGGAAATCTCTCGAAGTATTTTCTAACTTCCCTTGTAATTTTCTTTGAGTCACTGGGTATATTTACAAATATGCTGTTTAACTTCCATGTATTTGTGAGTTTCCCAAATTTTTGTGGTTGACTTCTAATGTCACTCCACTGTGGTCAGACAACATACTCTGTATGATTTCAGTCCTTTTAAATTTGAAGGGTCTTGTCTGATGGCCTACATAATGGTCTATCCTGGGGAATGTGTGCTTGAGAAGAATGTGAATTCTGCTGTAGGTGGCGGCCTCCTTATTGCTCTGCTCCCTCACTTGTTGTTGTTCAGTCGCTCAGTCGTGTCTGACTCTTTGTGACCCCATGGACTGCAGCACAGCAGGCCTCTCTGTCCATCAACTCCTGGAGCTTGCTCAAACTCAAGTCCATTGAATCAATGATGTCATCCAACCCTCTCATCCTCTGTCGCCCCCTTCTCCTGCCTTCAGTCTTTCCCAGCATCAGGATCTCTTCCAATAAGTCAGCTCTTTGCATCAGGCGACCAAAGTATTGGAGTTTCAGCTTCAGCATCAGTCCTTCCAATGAGTACTCAGGGCTGAGTTCCTTTAGGATGGACTGGGTGGATCTCCCTGCGGTCCACGGGACTCTCAGAGTCCTCCAGCACCACAGTCCAAAGCATCAGCTCTTCGGCGCTCAGCCTCCTTTATGGTCCAACTCTCACATCCGTACACGACTGCTGGGAAAACCATAGCTTTGACTAGACGGACCTTGTCAGCAAAGTGATATCTCGGCTTTTTAATATACTCCCTTCCTCGGATCGCTTATTTTGGGGGAAAATAGCTGTCCTGTTTGAGGATACTCGAGCAGCCCTAAGGAAAGGTCTACATGGTATAGGCCTCCAGCCCACAGCCCTGTGAGCGAACAGGTCATTTGGAAACACCCACTCCGGCCCCCCTCCTCAAGCTTTCAGATGGCTGAAAGCTTGGAGACCCACACGGAAGACCTCTTCGATCTCACGAGAGATCCGGAGCCAGAACTATCCCATCTAGCCCCTCCCGAAATCTCAACCCACAGACGCTGTGAAAGGCAGTAAGTGTTTGCTGTTCTCAGCCTTGAGGCTCTGGGGTAATTTGTGATGCAGCATTAGATAACCAATATAGTTACCCATAGCTCTGCCGGCATTCAGGAGCACACGTCTCGAGGCACAGTTGAACTTCAGGCAGAAGTTTTACCTTTTCTGAGAGAAAAACATTGAAAACATGGATTACTACTTCTTCTCCTGTTGAAGTTGCCAGAGGCAAAGGCACACCCCGTGGAACAATGATCTCAAGGCCTCAAGGCAGAAGAAAACCAGGCGGAATGACTGACTGGGGGAGTCACTGGGAATTCTGGTTTTCCGATGCCCCAAACCAACTGCATGCATGTGTGCTAAGTCGCTTCAGTCCTGTCCAACTCTGTGTGACCCCATGGACTGTAGCCCACCAGGCTCCTCTGTCTATGGAATTCTCCAGGCAAGAATACTGGAGTGGGTAGCCATTTTCTTCTCCAGGGGATCTTCCCGACCCAGAGATTGAACCCTTCTGTCTCTTGCGTCTCCTGCACTGGCAGGCAAGTTCTTTATCAGGTGAGCCACCAAAGAAACCCCAAACTACCTATGTCAGGTAAAATAAGCTATTGGAGATTGCAAGTCAGGCTTCACCTTGTCACCAAAAAGATTGGAAGGCAACTAGATCTCAAAGAGGTCACACCCTTCATCCTGCCAAAGGCGAGTCACAGAGCCTCCTCCTTGGTTAAGTCAAACTGGCTTTCTCATGGAAAAAAAAAATTTAAAGCAGAAATCAAGTTTCCTTTGGCTGTTTTATGCAACTTGGATTCATTCCTGTGTAAGATGTGGCCCTTCCTATTTCCATGAATTAATATGAGACACATACCGCTTTCTAAAGACTGGTTTTACATTCTGTTTATTTGAAGCGAAACCAAGTTCAGCTCACCATGGTTAATCATTTGCAAAACTATGTGTGTGTGCACGTGCTCATGCTTGTGTGTGCATACTCGGTAGTACATCCTTCTAGAGCAGTCTATATTTTTTAAACAGATTTTCAAAAGATACTACCATTCATAAAAAATGAAGACCTCTTAGTGTAAAAGAGAGGAAAGAAAATGGCAGTTAGAATGGGAGTGTTTGCTTGTTTGTTTTGTTTGGCTGCACTTGTGTGACTTGAGGGATCTTAGTTTCCCAACCAGGGATTGAACCCAGGCAGTGAGAACATGGCGTCCTAATGACTGGACTGCCAGGGAATTCCCAGGGAAGTTGTTTTTAATAATGGGACAGATTTAGGGACTTTCTGGGTGGTCCAACCCTGGAAGGACTGATGCTGAACCTGAAGCTCCAATACTTTGGCCACCTGAGGCGAAGAGCTGACTCATTGGAAAAGACCCTGATGCTAGGAAAGATGGAAGGCAGGAGGAGAAGGGGAAGACAGAAGATGAGACGGTTGGATGGCATCACTGACTCAATGGACATGAGTTTGAGTAAATTCCGGGAGTTGGTGAAGGACAGGGAAGCCTGGTGTGCTGCAGTCCATGGGGTCACAAAGAGTCAGACACGACCGAGCAACTGAACTGGTGGTCCAGAGGTTAAGACTGTGCTTCCAGTGCAGGGGGTGTGGGTTAGTTCCCTGTTGGGGGAATGAAGATCCCACAGGCCTCACAGCACCCCCCAAAAAAGGATGGGACAGACTTAGGGGTGTCTCTCGATCCAGGAGAAGGAGCCAGTGGGAGGTAGGGTAGGAGACTCTAGAGAGGCAGGAAGCCCAGGGAACAAAGCTCCCCAGACAGTGTCGGCCCCCTGGGGTGTCTGAACCTCAGCCTGGCAGAGAGCCTCGTCCATGGCCCTGTCCGTACCTGGGTCCTCCTGCTGGGCCGGGCTGGGGAGCCGCTCCCGCTGCCGCAGCGCCTCCAGGCCCGCCAGATCGGGCGGGTGGCAGTGGCTGCGCATGATGGTCACCTGTGGGCCCTGGGTGATGGCGCGGCTGCGGCAGCCCTTACGGGCCTGGTCCCGGCACATCCAGTACACCTTCTCCCCGGCCGCCTTCTCCTTCCTGTAGAGGAAGGACTCGTACACCAGGAACCGGCCTCCGAGGGAAGTCCTCAGGAACTCCAGGGGCTGGGGGGCTTCTGGAAGGAACAGGCTGTGCGAGTGGGGTGCCTGGGCGGGGCCCCGGAAGCAGGGTGCAGAGCTCCAGCCAGAAAAGCGGGGACCGTGCGCCCAGCCCGGCTGGCGCCGCAGGGCCCTGGGGACTGAAGCTCAGGCTGCCTCAGCCCTGTCACCTTGGGGTGCGGGCCATCTGTCTGTCTGAGGGCCTTGGGGCTACCGGGGAGGCTGGCCCCATGGCTGCCCAAACCCTGAGTTTTCCTGCAGGCCCCTGCTGACCCAACTTGACCTCCACACCGGCTGGCAGGCGCCCCAGGCCAGGGGCTGGACTGGAACACTCTGGAAGGCCCGAGGTTGGTCTGGACCGTGTACCTGCGTGTACCAGGGGGCTCCCCGCTCCAGGGCCACCCACCCATTGGCCAGCTGGCGACTAGTCAGATTCTCCTTCAGGAGACGTTTTAAGAATCTGAACTGAAAGCTCATGACACGTCGGGGTGGCGGTGGCCGGAAGGTAGGGGTGGGGAGAGAAGGGCAGACAGTGTCCCCCAGGGCAGACAGTGTCCCCCATGTCCGGGAGCACTTCCCGCGGCTCCTGTTATCGCCCCTGCCCCGCCGCCGCCTTCTCCAGCAGTCTGAGGGGGTCTCCCCCTGAGATCGCAGCCCCACCAGGACCAGCGCGGGAGTGTGGGGCCCCTTCCCCCGGGAGCTCACTGCCCAGGGCGACAGACCCGCCCCACCTGGGCCACAGTACAAGTGTCCCACCAGGCGCCCTGCAGTCCAAGCCCTGGGCTGTCCCCAGGGACTGCTGGGCCCCCAGGGAGACCAGGCCCGGTTCCCACCCACCCCCACGCCATTGCCCGCACCTGAGCCTTCCCTCTGGGCTGGGCTGGGGAGCTGCTCCCGCTGCCGCAGCGCCTCCAGGCCCCCCAGGTCGGGCGGGTGGCAGTGTCTGCGCATCACCATGACCCGTGGGCCCTGGGTGATGGCGCGGCTGCGGCAGCCCATGCGGGCCTGGTCCCGGCACGTCCAGTACACCTTCTCCCCGGCCGCCTTCTCCCGCCGGTAGAGGAAGGACTCGTACACCAGGAAGCTGCCCCCCAGAGGGGTCCTCAGGAACTCGGGGCCTCCTGGGGAGAGATGGGACGGGGTCAGGGGAGGGAGGCAGGGAGGGTGGGCTGCTGTTCCGAGGTGTTGAGAGGGGGACCCAGGAGGTTCTGATTCGAGAACTCCCTTCCCGCCGTCCAGACACCGGGACCATGCAGGGGAGGAGGGTTGGAGGGTCTGTCAGGAGCGGGGGTGGCAGCCGTCGGCGGGGGGCGGTGCGTGGCCAGAGGGGAGGTATGGGAGGGGGCATGTTTCTGCTCTCCCTGCACTTGATGAAAACAGAATGAGTGAAAAAGGCACAGGGCACGAACCAGAGATTCAAGGAGGGGAGGAGAGGGCAGAGATGCTGACGCAGGTGAGAGGCTGGGCAGAGGGGGCACCTGGTCACAGAGCTGGCAAAGCAAGGGCTCGCCCAGCCTGCGGGGGACACTCTCAGAACAGGCAGAGTCCAGCGGCTGAGCCCAGGCCAGGCCCCAAACAGCAGACTGGCAAGGGCTGTCTGCCTGAAGGGCAATGAGACAGGTGCCCGTCTGGAGGAAGAGTGTAAGGTATGGGGAGAGGAGGAGGAAGTCTGCAGCCCACCCTGTTTCCCCGCCCGAGTCCCTGGAGCCGGCAGCCAGGCCAGGCGCTGAGCACTGGGGTCTCTCGCATTACCAGGTTGGCGCCCACATACAGAGTGCGTGGGTCTCACCTTCAACCTGGCGGACAGCCAAGGACCACTGGACACGTGATCAAAGATTCTCATGTCTTCCACAATCGAAAAGTCAAGATTCTTAAACCAAGTATCTCATATGAGGCCACGCAAAGCAATTTAAAGTGTATACAACAATCATTCCCAGGAATTCCCTAGAGGTCCAGCGTTTAGGACTCCTCACTTTCACTGCTGGGGGCAGGGGTTCAATTCCTGGTTGGGGAATTAAGATCCTGTAAGCTATGTAGCATTCCCCCCTCCCCCCCAAAAATCATTCCCCTTCAATTTGTGCTGCTTTATACAACTGTGTGATTGACAGAAAATGGAAGTGAATGGCATGTACCTGCTTGGAAAATTTCACCTGCTGACAAAACAAAAAAGAGAGAGAAAGAGAGACAAGCTTTACCCTAAAAGGCAGGGACCAAAGAAACCCACAGAGAAAAGGCCGCTGCCAGGGGCTGGGTGAGGGTGGGGTGGGCTTTCTGCTCTGGGATGATGTGCGTGGGTCTCACCTTCAACCTGGCGGACAGCCAAGGACCACTGGACACGTGATCAAAGATTCTCATGTCTTCCACAATCGAAAAGTCAAGATTCTTATACCAAGTATCTCATATGAGGCCACGCAAAGCAATTTAAAGTGTATACAACAATCATTCCCAGGAATTCCCTAGAGGTCCAGCGCTTAGGACTCCTCACTTTCACTGCTGGGGGCAGGGGTTCAATTCCTGGTTGGGGAATTAAGATCCTGTAAGCTATGTAGCATTCCCCCCTCCCCCCCAAAAATCATTCCCCTTCAATTTGTGCTGCTTTATACAACTGTGTGATTGACAGAAAATGGAAGTGAATGGCATGTACCTGCTTGGAAAATTTCACCTGCTGACAAAACAAAAAAGAGAGAGAAAGAGAGACAAGCTTTACCCTAAAAGGCAGGGACCAAAGAAACCCACAGAGAAAAGGCCGCTGCCAGGGGCTGGGTGAGGGTGGGGTGGGCTTTCTGCTCTGGGATGATGGGTCAAAAAGGAGCTCAAATACAAGAGTGAAAGTTAGAAAGTAAATTGAAGGACTGGAAAGCAAAATCAAGGAAGTGTGTGAAAAATGGGAACTTGAACGTCATGGAACATGAGGATATTTCCATGAGTGAAGGACATGAGTTTCTGGCCTGAAAAGGCCCCAAGTGCCCCCCAGCCCAGCAACGCACTCCAGGGGTGGAGACACGACCTTACACCTTCAAGCAAAGGCCCCTCCACGTGCGTAGGATCAGTCCCGAGCACAGAGACCAGACGGCCACTGAGAAGGAGCCACAAACAGCCCTGTCCCACTCAGCCAGTGCGGTTCATAGAAAAAAAAGTACAGCAGCTGCGTTGACAGGAGAGGGCAGCACGGGGGGGATCTGCTGGGGCCCCGTCTCTGGTCGGAGGTCAACAGGCAATGAGGAGATAAAAGACCAGCTGACACAGTGGAAGGAGGCAGGCTTCAGAGAAGAGAGAAAGAACAAAGGACTGAGCGGTTACTCAGGATGGGAATTGGGGGTGAGGATGGCAAGGGGTGAGACCATCCCCAGGTACACAGAAGTTACAAGGAAATGGGATAAAAAGAGAGTCGGGAAGAAAAAAGAAGAAATCAGAGGTCTCAAGTTTGAGAGAATTTTAGGGCCAGCCAGGCTCTAAAGGCGATTCAGAAAAGTATGGGGCTGGGAACTCCGGAGGAGAGGCAGGTGGAGGCATGGACAGACCTGAGCAGAGAGCGCCAGCGAGCAGGGAGGGCCGGGCCAAGGCTGCTCTTGGCGAGACAGGAACATGTAAGTTACTGCGGCCTCGTAAGGGTCAGACATAGGTCCCGTGGGGCCGTCAAGGCAGGAGGAGGGCCCGGGACCCTAACTGCCCAGCCCAGAGGGACGATGGCAGGTGCTGGGGGGAGTGAAGCAATCACAGGACCGTGTCACCTTCAGCCCTCAATACTTGTTACTGGGCATGGTGTCAGCCACCCCCCAACTCTGGAAAAATGAGAAACCACCCTGTGCCATCAGCTTCCTCTATAAATCCTATTGCAGTCTTCCCTTGTAGCTCAGCTGGTAAAGAATCTGCCTACAATGCAGGAGACCCAGGTTCGATTCCCGGGTCAGGAAGATCCCCTGGAGAAGGAAATGTCAATCCACTCCAGTATTCTTGTCTGGAGAATCCCACGGACAGAGGAGCCTGGCGGGCTACAGTCCACAGGGTCGCAAAAGTTGGACACGATTTGGCGGCTAAGCCACCGCCACCGCCATAAATCCTATACATGCGAACCAAGGAAGGAAAAGAAGAGAAGGAGCAGAGGGAGCCTTGGCTGATCAGGTGTGCAGAGGTTCCGGGCTGCTCTGGGCAGGAGGGAGAGGAAGGGGATGAGGTGAGGTGGGGGTGGCAGGGGAGGGGAAGACGAGGAGGGGAGGAGCCAGGAGGGAGCTGCAACGTTTCAGAAGTTTCCAGTGAGGACGGGAGGATGCTTGCTGGAGGTCAAGAGGGCACAGCGGGCAGTCTGGGTCTCCTGCCTGTCCACCGAGGCTGCCCCCCACCCCCGACCCTGTCCGTCTGACCAACCTGGGCTTCCTCGCTGGGCTGTGCTGGGGCGTTTCTCCCGCTGCCGCAGCACCTCCAGGCCCCCCAGGTCGGGCGGGTGGCAGTGGCCTCGCATCACTGTCACCCGCCGGCCCTGGGTGATGGCGCGGCTGCGGCAGCCCATGCGGGCCTGGTCCCGGCAGGTCCAGTACACCTTCTCCCCGGCCGCCTTCTCCCGCCGGTAGAGGAAGGACTCGTACACCAGGAAGCTGCCCCCCAGAGGGGTCCTCAGGAACTCGGGGCCTCCTGGGGAGAGGAGGGAGCGTGGTGGGACAGGAGCTGGGGGCGGGGTGCCGGGGGCCAGGTCGGGCCTGGTGTCGCCCCCCTCCTGCCTCCTGGGACCTTGGGGAGCAAGACTGGAGGGAGGTCTGACCCAGCGGGTGTGGACTCACCCGGGTCCTCGTCCTTGTCCTCCTCGCCTTCGGGCTCAGCCGGGAGGTCCTCGTCATTGGCCGTCGGGCGCTTCCTGGGCCGGGGCCTGGTGAGAGTCAGGGGCCCGGGCCCTCTGCGGTAGAGCAGGCTGTCCACGCCTTGGAGCGGCTTGTCCTCTGGGCCCCCAGGGCCGCCTGGCTGGGCCCGCAGCGCCATCATGGCCCGCTCCTGCTGCCGCCGGGCCTTCAGGCCTTCCATGTCGGGTGCATGGCAGTGGCCCCGCATGACAGTCACCCGATGGCCCTGGGTGATGGCCCGGCTGCGGCAGCCGTGCTGCGTGTGGTCCCGGCACGTCCAGTACACCTTGTCCCCCACGGCCTTCTCCCGCTTGTACAAGAAGGACTGGTGCACCAGGAAGCTGCCCCCATAGCAGGTCCTCAGGAACTCCAGGGGCGGGGGCCCTCCTGGAGGAGGAAGCGGGGAGGGGGCTGGGTGGGTGCCTGCTGCGGGGGCTCCAGGTGCATCCCCGGGGACCACCTGCCCAGTGAGCCAGGAGGCCGTGCCCCTCTCCTGGTGGCCAGTGGGGGGTGGTCTCAGGGTGGGGTGGGGAGGGCTGAGCCAGCTCTGACGTGCCATACTTCTGCTTAGGGTTTGTTTGAAAACTGGATCTAGTTTTTGAATAACACAGGCATACTCCATAAAATAAAATGGGACCAGAAGACACACCGTGGGAGACATATGCCCTGCCCCCAGCCCCTTAAATCCCTGAACTCTTTAATCCTTTCCAGGTTAGGAGGCCCACAGCCTCAGGGACCAAGCCCGCCTCCCAGTGACTGCTAATAAAACCTCTGCAAAAACAAAATGAAAGTCAACAATATGGTGGCGCGCGGGCCGCGGGTGATGGCCCGGCCCCGACAGCCCAGCTCAGTGCGCTCGCGGCACTTCCAGTACACCTTGTCGCCCACGGCCTTCTCCTGCTTGTACAGGAAGGACTCCAGCACCAGCAGGCGGCCCCCAAACGGGGTCCTCAGGAACTCCAGGGGCTGGGTAACTGCAGAAGACAAGGTGGGGGGCAGGCCAGCTGACACGGAGCAAGGCTTGTGGCCAGGGGCATGGATGGGAACACAGGGATGGGGGAGCCCAGGGATGCTTTCCTGCCATCGTCGCACCAGCCTGGGACAAGGTCAGGGAGGCCCTGCTCAGAGCAGGGAAGGGATGGCCAAGGTCACCCTGCTGGCAAAGCCCAAGTCTGAGCACTCAGGGCCACAAAGGTGGCCAGCTGGGGGCAGCTGGCCTGGAACTCACCAATGCTTGGCTTGCTGGGTTTCAGTGCCTGGGTCTGGGGCCTTGGCTGGACCACCCCACGCTGTTCCTCTACTGGCAGGATCTGGGGAGTCCCAGCCAGGGTGTCAGGGTCAGCCATCTCCAGGGTGAGGACACAGTGCACTTCTTCGGACTGGGGGTCCACTCCATCCCCACTCTCAGTGGAGGCCGCCAGGAGGACCAGTTCAGAGAACTCCACGGGCTTCGTGGGGGCTTCGAGGACGACATCTGTGCCCGGCTCAGGGGGCTCAGGCGAGGGCTCCTGGCCAGCCTTCACACTTTCGCCCTCCTGCTCGCTGGGCTCGGGCAGGGGCATTCTGGGACGGGCGGCCGGGCCTCCAGGCCACGCTCAGGTCTCGGTAGGATTTGTCCTCCACCTCCTTGCAAGGAACCTGGCAGTCCAGGGGCTCTGTCCTGAGGGAGGAGGCAAAAATCCCATCAGCGGGGACATCCCTGGCAGTCCAGTGGATAAGACTCTGTGCTTCTAATGCAGGAGACACAGGTTCGATCCCTGGCTGGGGAACTAAGATCTCACATGGGGAAAAGAAGTCCCATCAGTGGAGGGGCCCTTGGGCCAGGGTTCAGGAGGAATCTGGGCTGGAGGTCAGGACAGGAGGGAATGCCCTGTGTCCCCCACACCCGCCCCCACCTTGGGGAAGGACCTGAATGCAGCTGGAGAACCTGGGCCGGCATGTCTGTTGTCTTGGCAGCCTCGTGACCATCACCTCCCCCCGCCAAACGTCACTCCCCATCTGTAAAATGTGCCAGAAACAGGGCTCTCCAGGGACTGCTGGGGTGACCAAGGTGCTGACAGCCGTGAGTTACTAGGAGTCCAGGCCCACAGGTGCTGAGCTCGGGGTGGAGTGTCCAAGGAAGGTAGATTTGTCCTAATTCTCACAAAGGCGCCCTATGGGTTGAGGCCTACGTGGCTCCAGGGCCCAGGCTGATCTGAGAAGTGAGCAGAGGTCTCAGCTGGTGTGGAGGGAGCCCCGGGGATGGCCTGTCCCACCCAGCCCAGCTGGAGAAACGGGCTCTGAGCCAGATGCGCGCCCCCCCCCACCCATCCTTTGCAGCGACTGGCTGATGGTCTCAGGGCGGTGACTTGGCTCCTCTGAGCCCTGCTTCCCCACAGGTGACCAGGAAGGACCCTCTCCCCCCCAGAGAGGCAGGTAGACACGAGGAGGCACTTGGAATGGAACAGGCCAGCAGAAGGGCTCAAGGGTGAGCCGGGCCCCTTGCAGAGGGGCCTCCGGGCTCTGGGTTCCCTGACTCCTTGAGGATGGCTCCATGATGGAGCCTGAGGGGTCCCTTAAGTTCCCTGAGAACTCTAGGCTGGTAGCTGGGGATGCCCCCATCTCATGAAAAAGACACATGAATATGTAAATGCCAAAGAGCAGACATGGAGAGAAATAGGCCCAGGAACACAGACACACAAAGACCCATGCAAAGTTACCCTCCTAGGCAAATACACATGTAAAGAGACAGAACCTTAGACACACACATACATGCACGTTGTCATGGAGGCCTACAGACACGCAGAGATTCACACTGAGACATATTTAGACAGACACGCAAATGTCCACGGCACATGCACACTCTCCAGGCCAGCCAAGCCTGGCGGTCCCCCTGACTTCGGCCCTCAGAAGGCCCTGCTCCTGTCCTGCTTGCTGGGACCAGGCCTCACCTGTGTCCAGCTTGCTGCGTTTCTGCTCAGGCTCCTGGGGGGTGGCCTCAATGGCCCGCTGAGCCTCAGGATGGATCTTCAGGAGGGCTTTGGCAAGGGTGGCAGGGCCAGGCACCCCCAGGGACATGATGCAGTGCACACCTTTGCGCTTGGCCCCTTCAACTTTGGCACTGTCCTTGGAGGCCGTCAGCAGGACCAGTTTGGAGAACTTCCTGGGCTTCTTGGGGGCTGCAGGGACGACATCTGTGCCCGGCTCAGGGGGCTCAGGCGAGGGCTCCTGGCCGGCCTTCATACTCTCGCCCTCCTGCTCGCTGGGCTCGGGCAGGGGCATTCTGGGACGGGCGGCCAGGCCTCCAGGCCACACTCAGGTCTCAGTAGGATTTGTCCTCCACCTCCCTGCAAGGAACCTGGCAGTCCAGGGCCTCTGTCCTAAGGGAGGAGGCAAAAATCCCATCAGCGGGGACGTCCCTGGCAGTCCAGTGGATAAGACTCTGTGCTTCTAATGCAGGAGACATAGGTTCGATCCCTGGCTGGGGAACTAAGATCTCACATGGGAAAAAGAAGTCCCATCAGTGGAGGGGCCCTTGGGCCAGGGTTCAGGAGGAATCTGGGCTGGAGGTCAGGGCAGGAGGGCTGCCCTGTGTCCCCCACGCCTGCCCCCACCTTGGGGAAGGACCTGAATGCAGCTGGAGAACCCGGGCTGGCTTGTCTGCTGTCTTGGCAGCCTCGGGACCATCACCTTCCCCCGCCAAACGTCACTCCCCATCTGTAAAATGTGCCAGAAACAGGGCTCTCCAGGGACTGCTGGGGTGACCAAGGTGCTGACAGCCGTGAGTTACTAGGAGTCCAGGCCCACAGGTGCTGAGCTCGGGGTGGAGTGCTTCCACGGGTGTTTCCCGTTTAACCTTCACCCCACATTATGGAAGTTGATCATTCCCATCGACCCAGGTTACAGATGAGAACACGGAGCACACGGCCATGCAGCAGAGCGGGGGGTCTGGTCGAGCTGGTCCAGGGCCCGCCCCGCACTGCACCTGGGTGACCTGCGCCAGGATAACAGGAGCCGGTCTTCCTGAGCAACGGGCATCGGGGAAAAGCACTGGGGGATGTGAGCTCAGGTCACTGACCCTCCCAGAAGGCCTGCTGCCCTTCACCCCAACAGTGTCTATGTCACCAGGAGCAGAGGCTGGGCCCTCAGGGCACTGTGCAGACCCCAGAGGGGAGCCAGGCCCTGGGAGGCGGGACTCTGGGTTCCCAAATAGATCCAGTCCCCTTCCCAGGCCAGAGGCCCAAGCCACCCAGGGCTAGGGGATGCCAGGGCCCCAGGAGGGCAGCTACTTCTGTCTGAGCTGGTGCTGGCGCTGCCCCAGCTGAGTGGGGACAGGGCTGTGGAGGTGTCCAGAGGAGCCGTGGTCACTGAGGGCTCCCTGGCTGCTGGTCTGGAGAAGCAGAAAGGATGGCTGACAGGGGCCGGGCTGGCCTGGAGACCCGGGCTCTGGGGCATCGGTGTGGGGGTGTCTGTTGGGGGTGACTGGGTGGTGGGCAAATGGTGGGGGTCTTTCTCCGTTTAGCCCAGAAACAAGGCTGTCGTGTTGGCAGACGTCTCATATGCTATGTTCAGGAAACAGGGGGCAGGGAAGCCCATACTCTTACCTGCCCCTCTGGACCTGCTTCTCTGACCTGGCTTTGAACTGTTTCTTTGAGTTTGTAGTCCATCGGTTGCAAAGAGTCGGACATGACTGAGCAACTGAACAACAGACTCACATGGCTTGAAGGGTCCATGCCCCGCACTTCAAAGTCTTCCAAGACCCCATCTCCCATGACAGGAGCCTGAAGTGCAAGATCAATGTGTGGTTGGGGTACCTTGCCCCCTACAAGTTCCCCTGACAATTAGATATGAGAGCAGAGACCTCCCACTGTGACAGGGAGGACACCTCAGGGGGGGTGTCCTCAGGTCTATGCTGCCTGGTAGCAAGTCCCCTGACCACTGGCACCCCTAGGATTGATGTTTCATTATCTCTCCCGTGTCTGGTCCAGCTTCTGGATGAGCCAACCCCTGCTCCTCCCATGTTGTCCTTCCCGGCTCTGCCCACACCTGCCCCACAGAGTGGACAACGTGGTGGTATCGGGGGCCTGGGGGGACACAGGATCCAGCAGAAAAGATGCTGCCAGTGCCTCCCCTGGCAGAGTCATTCTGGGCAGGAAAGGGTTATGGTGGGAAGTCCCGCCCGCAGGCCTCTGATTGGCCCTGGGGCACATCCCTGGCCTAGCCCAAACCTTTGTGGTCCAGGGATGAAACTCCAGGTGGTTGGACCCCTTCCTCAAACCACATCCAAAAAATTAACTCTAAATGACCACAGGCTTAAACATGAGAGCTAGTGATAAAACTCTTAAAAAAAGAGTTGGATTAGGCAAAGAACTAAAAGTACAGATAACCAAAGAAGAAACACGTAAATTGGACATCATCAAAATTTAAAACTTTTGTGAGTCAAAGAGACTCACAATCTAGAGAGTCAAAAGGCAACCCATAGGATAGGAGAACACTTTTTGCAGATCATGTATCTGATAAAGGGCTTTCTGGTGGTTCAGTGGTGAGAAACACACCTGCCAATGCAGGAGACCCGGGTTTGATCCCTGGGTCAGAAAGATTCCCTGGAGAAGGAAACAGCAACCCCCTCCAGTATTCTTGCCTGGGATTTCCCATAGACAGAGGAGTCTGGCATATAGTCCATGGGGCCGCAAAAGAGTCAGACACAACTTAGCGACTAAAACAACAACATATCTGATAAAGGACCTGTGTCTGAAATTTATAAAGAACTCTTACAACTCAGTAATAAAAAGACAAATAACTCAATTTAAAAATGGGCAAAGAATCTGAAAAGGCCTTTCTCCAAAGAAACTATAGAAGTGGCACATGAGATGTTCAACATCATTAGTCGTGAGGGAAACGTGGATCATGAGATACTATTTCACACTATTAGGATGGATCTAATAAAACAAAACAAAAAACAGACAATAACAAGTGATGGTGAGGTTGAGAAGAAAATAGAGCCTTGACATACTGCTGGTGGTGGTATATATAGGTGCGGCCAGTTTGGAAAACAATCTGGCGATTTCTCAAAAGGTTAAACATAAAGTTACCATATATCCCAGCAATTCCACTCCTAGTTGTTCCTCCAAGAGAAATGGAAACTGATGTGGTCTTGAACCTGGTCTCCAGCCCAGACTGGTCACTTGCTATAGCCAATAGAGCATGGCAGAAGCTTGCTGTGGGGGGTCACCCTCTGAGACAGCCAGGGAAGGAAGCTATATGAGGGGCCACAAGCAGGATGGAGGCAATGCCTGGCCTGGAGGGGGGCCATCTCCACTGTCAAGTTCAGCGACCCTCCAGCTGTGTGTAACCACAAGAGCCAGGGGAAAGTGGCCCACGCACCCCATGGAATCCTGATCAATAATAGACTACAGTTATTTTAAGCCAGTAAGATCAGGGCTCATTAGTTACGCAGCAATAACTGATATTCTTGGCAAGCAACTGAACATAGTCAGTTTTGACTTTTTGATAGATGGAGTAATACTAATGGATGTGGAATATCCAATATCAAAGGGCTTTTGAACTCTTGAACTCTAAGGGTCATCCAACACAAATTTTAAATCCCTCAGATGCTCACATTTGAAAGGCTGGTAACTCAATGAGAGGAACAAAATATTAAGTATAAAGGATATCAAATGAGAATTGTGCATTTTAAGAATCTGTAACATGATATAAGCCAAACACAAGAGGACAAATGCTCTATGATTCCATACATGATGTAGCTATAGTCGTCAAATTCAAAGAGACATAGAGACATAGTCAAATTCATAGTTGACAGGGGCTGGCAGGGAGGAGGAATGGGGAGTTAGTGTTTAATGGGACCATTTTGGGCTTCCCCGGTAAAGAACCCACCTGCAGTGCAGGAGACACAGGAGAGGAGATGTGGGTTCAACAACCCACTCCAGCATTGTTGCCTAGAGAATCCCATGGACAGAGGAGCCTGGTGGGCTATGTCACAGTCAGATACGACTGTGCATGCACTCATGGGGAACGTTTCAGTTTGGGAAGATGAAAAATTTCTGGAGATGGATGGTGGTGATGATTGAACAACAATGTGAATGTACTTAATGCCACTGAACTGTCACTTAAAAGTGGTTAAAGTAGTAAGTTTTTGTTATGTTTATCACACATGCAAATAAAATTATTTTTTTAAAAACCCCACAACTATAGCAAACTATACACAGTAATGCTCCATTTATCATACTGCTGAATGAGGTTCTCCACACAATGCATATTTCTGATGAAAGTTATTCCTCCATGATTCAGAATTTTACAATTTCTCTTTCACAGTTCATCCATTGAGGATGAATGCTTCTTAAGCTCTAATGACTCATCACTGTCTGGATAAAGAGAGCATATAAATTTTATCCTGATTTGGAGAACGAAGTGTCCAATCCAGTTCCCTTGGTACCCCCACACCGGGGCCTTTTCTCCATCTGAACGATCTGCTTTCCCTGGCCCCCAAACCTCTCTGCCTCCTCTGGGTCTCTGCATTTAGGGTTCTCAGGCCTAAGCTTCTCATTGTTGCTGTTCTGTCACTCAGTCGTGTCCGACTCTGCGACCCCGTGGACTGCAGCACACCAGGCTCCTCTGTCCTTCATCGTCTCCTGGAGTTTGCTCAAACTCATGTCCTTTGAGTCAAAGATGCCTAAGCTTCTTACATCTCCTAAATCCTAAAACAAAAGCTCACAAAACCCCTCCTTCCCTCAACAGTTAGACTTTTTGAAACAGTCCACACCCCTTCCTTCTCCGCTAGGCCATCTAGCACCTGCCCCCTACTCTTCAGACCACCATCTTCCTCTTTGGCCTGAGCACAGAATTGGCACCTGCTGGGTTAACCCAAAATCCATGCTTCTCTCCCAAACACTTGGTCTGGCCTGTATGTGGTCTATCCATGCAATGGAATTTATTCAGCCTTAAAAATGAATGAGGGCTTCCCTGATGGCTCAGTGGTTAAAAAAAAAAAAAAAAAAAATCCACTCGCCAAGCAGGAGACATAGGTTCAACCCCTGGATCAGGAAGATCCCCTGGAGAAGAAAATGGCAACCCACTTTGCCTGGAAAATCCCATGGACAGAGGAGCCTCATGGGCTAGAGTCCACGAGGTCTCAGAAGAGTCAGACATGACTGAGCAACTAGACAATAAAACAAAAGGAATGAAGTTCTGATACATGTTACCATGTGGATGAACCTTGAAGACAGTATGCTCAGCGAAAGATCCCAGACACTAAAGGCAGCGTGTGGTATGAATCCATTCATGTGAGATGTCCACTAAGGATGGAAATGAGGTTTGTGGTTGATGGGGGCTGGACAGGAAGGAGGGGGAGATTCAGGAGTGA